CATGTAGCTGCCTCTATCTTTAGAAACATTTATTATCACCTTAACCCCCAATACTGCAGGCACGATCCCTTTTTTTTTATATGATGCCTACAAACTGATGGCAATCTGTATACTAGTTTTAAGAAGAGATTAAACATTAAGCTGAAAACAACATCTCCCCTCTCCCTGCTATAGGTTAATAAGTAAACTATTTCGGTGCAAATGCCAAGTAAGTCATGAATGCAACGTCTCCAGGTAAGAATGATTAATGCACTAGGTCTACTTCCAGTTCCCAAATCTGAACCATTGATACTCCCTTTGGCACTGCAAAGGGTATTTATCTGTATTTTAGATGTTCTAGGATGCTCCTGGAGTTCGTTTTCCTTTACTAAGGTATAGGACCACATTTCATTGCCCAGAGTACGACGGGAGCATTACAAAAGCATTCCTTTCCATTTGGATACTAGACACTGATTCTCTCTGTGCTCTCAAGTCATGGGGCTGGACATAATCTGAAATGTGTCCTAAGTGGTTTTGCAAAATGATCACTAGCATGACCTCCTGGCCCCTTTACATGTATTTATGGATATCAAATAACTCATGCAACTGTTGGCCTTTTAATGACCTTGAGAATTGCTAGTTCTAAGAATAGAAACCTTAAAAGCACAGAGATATATGGGAGGTCCCCTTATATTCCAAATAAACAAGTTTCCTTAGCTTTTTCATCATGTGTCTTTTCCATAGTTTCATTTTGCTAAGCAAACAGCAGCTCTCATCAGTAAGACAATATTCTTTCTTCTTTCTCAGTTATCTGGGGGTCAAATATTAGAACGAAACATCTGATGTGAGGCATAGGTAACTGACTCAGGAGGAAATCTGTTTTAGATATACCAAGTCTATGATTCTGTTTGGTATATACATTTTACAATCTGAAGTATTTATACTCATCCCAGTAGCTAGAAACATTATTTTGTTGCTTAAATTTGGTTTCCTTAAGATTAATTCAGTCAAATACTAATGATCCACACCTCGGCCTTTAAAAAGAAATAGTGAAAAAGAATTTGATATCTTTGGTAGAATGAACCAAGGTCCTCATAATCACAGTATTCTGGTATTGACTGAGAAAGTCTAGGTTTAAAATCATTCTTTTGTATCTCCTAAATTAGGATTGGGAAATCTGTGATATCCTCATTCAACTTCCCTATTTTGCAAAATGAGGAAACTGTTGGCTAAAGTAGCAAAATTATAGTTGGAACCCATGTTCTCTGGCTCTCAAAACTATACCAAGATTCAAGCCTGAAACCTCAGAATATGCAATTCAATTTCTTGGAATTTATCCTAAAGAAAAACTGGAAGATGTGCCCAAGGGTATGTGTGCAGTGATGTTTATCTCAGCACTGTTTATAATAGCCTCCCCAACACACTGCCCTCAAAAAACCAGAAATGACTTAACAATCCATCAACAGACAACTAGGTAAATCAATTATAGTTCATTCACATAGTGGAATCTTACACAACCATCAAAAACGGTTCACATCTTATGGGAAAGGAATCCAAAGGGCGGGGATATATGTATATGTACAGCTGATTAATTTTGCTACGCAGCAGACACCAACACATTGGAAAGCAACTATATTCCAATAAAAATTAATTTTTAAAAAAAACTACCAAGATTGGTAGACTGCGCAGTAGCACAAAAATAGATCAAAAGATCCAATGGTAGTTTCTAGCATTTCATGTTAATGTGTGAGAATCTGACATATAGCTATGAATCATACTTGACATACTAAAGCAGGCTCTGACTTATTTTATACTGACAAAATGAGGAACACATTTGACCTTCCAACATAGCCCAAACATCACATTCAAAAGTCTGAATTTAATATTAACTTTTGATAAAGGCACATCAGTGGAAAAAACAATTATGACTAAGCAAAGAACTTCCAGTTTTTATTTTTTAAACATTTAACAAGAAAACATTCAACCAAATTAAAAAAAATTAGGATGGATTAATTTACAATAAAATAGTCAACTTAAAATACCAGCCCTTTCATTTAGGGCCAAGGAGGCCAATAGTTTCTGTTTGAACAGCAGAACTGCACAATAGACATTTTTACCTTTATTTGATGGCACAGAAACATAAAAGTCATACAACTTTCATTGAGCTCCTCCCTTCCCCCCAGAGAATTCATACAATTGCTTCTTAGGTCAGTACTCAGGCCTTTAAAAATTATCAGTTATATTTTGAAATATATCTACAATTACTCTGATAATGAGAACACTTTTAAAAACAATTCTTTTAAGAAACACCTTAAAATAATGTTGTGGCACATTAGGTTTCTTAAAGAAACAGCAAAAATGAAAAATAATGTTTAAGAATTATAGTCCCTTGTTTATAGAAACCACCCAAATAAAATAGTTTCTCTAATTAATTATCCTTGCTTCTTATAATTTATTAGCAGAGATGAATTACAAGAAGCAGAATGCACCCTTTTTTGGTTCTTGGTTGTAGCTGCCAGCTTAAGAGTTCATGACTGTAAATGTAAAGCAAGATATAACTATGCTCACCAATTCTGGAATGGAAAAAAACCCAAAGTATCTCTTTAAAGTGTTTCTCTATCCTTGCTTTCAAGTCAAGACAAAAAATTCACAGCAGTTTTAAGGATGATGAAAGACTAAACATGGGGCCCACTACAATACATACCTAAGTTCATTTTACCTATTACACTCCTGAAGTGAAAACTATAACAAGTATGATATTACCAAGTAGCATTCTGTAGTAAGCTGTTGAAACAAGTACAGCACTCAATGGATTCATTTACAGACAGGCATGGTAGCTTTCGGACAGAACACCTTATTTTCACAATCTTAAATGTGCAACCTTTAAAAACAAACAAACATAAAGTACTATGTAATTTATGACAGCTGGCCAGGCACTTAACTTGGGGAAAGAGACTTTCAGATTTTGAGGTAAACTATAATTGTTTTCAGCAATCACAAACATATTCTAAAAACTATAACACACTAACTGAAGTTATTCAGCGTTTAAAAGTTTGTCACTCTATCATGCCAAAATTCACACCAAAGTGTAACTTTTTAAGAAGCTATTAAAAGGATATTTTCAAGTCTGAATTTTGGCCCCATTTAGATACTTCTGTGCTTAGAACATACTTGAGAAAACTAAAAGTTACAAATATACAACGGTAATGGGTGCAAGAGCCTAAAATGAGCTATTCCCCCCTACCTCCCCGCATCTGACATTACGAAGAGTCACATTGCCAGTCACACAGACAAGTGGAAGAGGAAGAAGACAATACAACTGAGGTGACAAGCCTCAATCTATCCTCAAGGAAATGACAGCACAATGCTCCAAGAGGAGCAGAAGCAAAGTGGCAGTTTCTTTGTATGGATGTGGACTACGAAAGCTTTCAGAATTAACACTAAGGAGCACAGGTCTCTGGATTTTTCATTCTCTGGGTACAGTATGATTTTTTCTTCTCTTCCGAATTCATTTCAAGGCAATGTGGAATTTGCTTAATAAATGACAACTCATATTAGAAGAGGACCTCAGTAAATATTTACACATTAGAAGACGAGAACAGAAAGTGGCCATTTTGGAACGATTCTTTTATCAAAAGTTATCCAAGTCTATTTTATTAGAATTATCAGGATATTATCTGCAAATAGAAAAGTCAAGTCTCCAAATTCTCATAATTATTATTTTCTATCCCTTCTCAAAACAGCAATTTCAATCCAAAGGCTACTTCTTGTTCAGCACAAACATACCAGCTTGTTACCTGGTATGCCCAGACTAATTACTCAACGTTGTTTTAAACCCTTAAAGAACGTAATAATAAAGAGTATTTTTTAAATGTTGATCTGAGGCATCCTCACTCTCAAAAACTTGAGAAAAAAGATCAGCTTAATTTGGTTTTCATGTGGCTAAAAACAGAGTCCAGATAAAGACTTCTAAGCTGACCCTTCTCAGGAAAACAAGTTTTTCCAGTCCTGGTTAAGAATTTGTATTAACTGACTTCTCCTTTCCTTGCAGGACTAACCACACACATCTGGCAAAACTATTAGCTGGAGTTAACGGTGAGCAAATGTGAAAGAATTTCTTTCTCTGTGATGCTAACTGGCTCACTGAAGTTTTGACACTGTGACCCTGGTCTAGTAGCACCATGCTTTACTCAGCTGAAATAATTAATCAAGCCATTGCCATGAGGTGACGAACAGTGGGGTGAGAAGGGGACCAAGGACGATTATATACATCAACAATTATTAATACCATGATATACAGTGAAAATGTGTCTATTAACATATTTGAGGCTTGAAAATCATTTATCACAGCTATTAAATAAAACTGCATCAAACTTTTACAATTTTTGAACACCTGCAAATGTAGACTTCCTGATATGATCCAAATTAAAATATGAATGGAAGTTCATTGAACATTAGATTATCTGTAAGCTAAAAGGAAACAAATTACATGTTTTGCAGGTAGTAAACTACCAAAATAAGTGGAGGTTAGGTAAAAATTAAGTGAAATTATTCCTAATCATTTATAGTCTCATCTTTCTCTCAGGAGAACCCCAAAATAGGTCTCCAGAAAATCAACTTTATAGATGTTAAGAAATGGCATCTGCTATCATATTGGTGTATCTTTCCCTCAAAGCTAGATGGGTCATAGACATATCTCAGACATTCATTCTCATGTATAACAGTTTCTGAGACATCTATTCCACTGAAGTATTGTAAAGGAAGTCTACAAGTCACTTACAGGAAAAAGGCACTTCATCGTGAAAGTTACATTTAATTACAATAAAGTCGAGAAGATGAGGGTAGACTCAATAGGTCAGTATTCATTTTTGTATTTCTAAATACAGAGTAGATGCCAGTTTATAGAATACAGCTGATAATATTACAAACAAACCAAATAGCAACATTAACTATATTCTCAGCAAAACAGTAATTTATGACATTTCTCCAAAAACCAACATAGTTCCAAGTTCAACAAAGCCCAGGGTGGAAAAATACTGGGAGTAACAAGAGGTTCATTTCTCTGGTCAGACAACCAAGTGAGGAGGTAGTTATTCTGAGAACTTCTCAAATAGAGAATATTATATTGATCTATTGAGAGTTGGGGAAATTGCAGGAGCTTCTTTTTGAGACTGAAGATAGCAACAGGAATACTTCTCCTCCAGGGAAGTCAGGACCAGGGTGTCAGTGCAGCTGAAATAAAGATGGAATCTGTATAAATGGCACATAGAAACTATTGGAAAAACAAGGTTACGAAATCAGCATAAATGATAATACACTGGTTTCCAAACTTGTCCTACCTTGACAGTGGCTCTTTTCTGATGTGATAACTTTAAAAGTATCTATGAGAAAAGAATACACACCATGTCATCATCAAGTAGTGATCCTTCACACTTCTGGTAATATATTTCATAAACAAAGTCTTCTAATTTCTAATACTACTGAAAATGTAATGCTGTCTGTAAAATAATTACATGTTTTAAAAACAGTTTAGGCTGCAGTACTCTCAGAAAGGGTGCCACAGTTAAAGCAGTTAATTTTAGACTTTTAAGTGAGGTGAAACTCTTCAGTTAAATAGCAACACAGAAAAGATAACAGCAATACACCTCCAAATTGCCTAAATAATACTTATACCTACCATCAACAGACTACATGCTCACCTTGTTACATTACCACACACGGCAACCCCATACAACCTTGAGTGCCATCATCACTGCTGTTCAGTTTTTTCATTCGGTACTGACGTATTTCTCTTACCAGTGTGTAAAAGGCATCTTCAACACCCTATAAAAGAGAAAATGATAAAGACAGCTTACAAAACCCAAGTTGTAAGCTCTAATTTGTAGTTCCTTATGTGGATTTAAAATTGCAATTATTCGATTACTAGCTGAAAAATAGGCTGAGCGTTCCTACTGTATCACATTAGCAGGCTGATGATGAACAAACAGCACTTTTTGCAAAAATAACATTCAAGCAAAAGAAAATGGGTAACAGGAGACATATAGAACCATTGAATCTAAAGATTTCATTCAGGAGGGCCTATACCTTAAACAGTAGCTGGTGTTGATGGAGAGAGGGCTAATGTTTTAAGTATCTTTAATCAAGGGTCTTCATTTAGAAATACTTGTGCATGTTAAAGCAGGCATAAAAGAGAAACCAGATCAGAATATTAATAAAATTATTTTGGGTTTAGACTGCAGATTAAAAAAAGTAGAACTCTATTAAAAAATCCAAACCAGGGACTTTCCTGGTGATCCAGTGGTTAAGACTCCATGGTCCCAATGCAGGTGGCTAGGGTTTGAGTCCTCATCAGGGAATTAGGTCCCACATGCAGCAACTAAGACCTGATGCAGCCAAATTCATAAAAAAAAAAAAAAACCCAAACAACAAAGAATGCAGATCACATCTCTAGCAAAGAGTTCATCAATCAAACTTTTTCTGCCTTAAACAAACCCTTGCCAGATGCTGAAAGCTGTACTATACCTGTCTGGTCTTGGCTGAGGTTTCAATGAATGGAATCCCATAACTTTTGGCCAGTTCATGGGCTTGTTTTGTGTCAACTGTCCTTGTTGGCAAATCACACTTGTTTCCTACTAGCACCATAGGTACATCATCCGAGTCCTTTACGCGCTTAATCTGTTCCCTAAAAAAAGGGAATGTGTTATGGTAACATAAGAATAAACTTTTAGAAAGGAATAAACAGTCTAAAGTAAAAAATAAAATCTAACAAACTTCAGCTAGCCCTATTGGCTTCTAGTATTGCGTTTCCCTATTTCTTTAACTACTTGCATACTAAGAAGGCTGGTTTAGACTTGATGCAATAGCTACAGAGAAGCCAAGTACCAGTTCACTTTCTATCTTGACACATGTCCCTTTTTGGTTTCTTGATTCTCTGAAGAGCTAGCCTCTGGATTTAACTGGCAACTCAAAATCACACTCTAGATTAAGGTCTCAAGTATAAAAAGTAAAGCTTACTGCCTCCAAATAACTTTTTGAAGATCCCTGGAGTATGACAGTATTTAATGAAAAGACAGTCTATCCACTTCCCTGGATGGGTGGTATTCAAACATTTTCTTCAAACAAAATTACAGCTGGAAGTCCAAGATATAAATCAGGACACACTATAACTGCTCTTATTAAAGTAGATTAAAAGACCTGGAACTCCCAACTGACAGTACTCTCTTCGATGACAAGACATACGACACAGCAGTGTGGTTAACTATTGCTCCAGATTCTTTCTCTGGACCAACCCTGTCCAACGGGTATTCTCATGATGATGGAAACATTCTCCAGCCGCCCTGTCCAACTATGTCTACTAGTCACATGAAGCTACTGAACACCTGAAGTCAGTTGCTAATGTGGGACCAAGGAACTGACTTTTGAATTGTTAATTCTACTGAATTTGAGTAACCACAAATGGCTTGTGTCTACCATACTACACAGCACTGCTCTAGACTCTCCCTTTGAATTACACACACAGTCATGAACTTGAAATGCATTTCATTGGCCATCTACAGAACTGAGCTTTGTTTGGTGTGATGGCAGTACCCTATGTGAAGGGATAATACAAGAGAGTTGAAGAGGAAAATGATTTGTAGAAATTTAGCAAATATTTATTAGGTGCTTGCCAAGTGCCGAGCATTTTATTCAGTGCTCTATTAATTCCAGAGAGAAAATGGGAAGTAGAACAGGTTGAGGGGAAGAAAACCAGTTTTGGACTAGTTTCTGAGAGTCGACATCTTCATATGGTTGGAGTGTACACGAGGACTCAAGGTTACAGGCAGAACGTAGCATTTACTCTGTGGCAAACACTGTTCTGAGGGATTCCTATATTTATTAACTAATTTGCACAGCAACTCTCAGTAAGTACCACTGTCTTCATATTGTTAGATAAGGAGGCTCAGAGATTTAGTAGTTTGCCCCAAACTTCCATGACTAAGAGATGATGGAGCCAAGCTGCAACCCAGGCAGAGTTTATATTCCTAACCACTATATTATTCTGCTTAAAAAACATAGGTCTAAGAAAAAGAAGCCCTGGGTTTTTGGTTCTGGGTCTCCTATTAATAACAATCATGACTATGAAAACCTAACAAAACTCCTTCTGAACTTTGCTTCTGTAAAACAAGAATGTCATACTAGAATTTTTATGGTCCAATTGAGCTTTGGAAGTTAAAGGTTCTGTGGAGAAAGGCCATCTTTACGTTCCTTTGTCCTGCTTTCATTTTTATCTACCCTCTCCCCATTTGTTTCTTCCTGTTACCGTCTGTTACTGAAGAATGTTTTTCACGGGTGTCTTCTGCTCTTGAGATTCCTTTGTGATCTCTCATAACAACACCTCTAGTTCTAAATGACTACCATTAGCAAGTCTCATGTATGTATTACCATGCATTCTAGCCACAGTAGATTATGTAAAATAAATCCCAGTATCAACTTTCAGTAATAACCCCAGATTCCCAATACCACAAACGAAAAGAAATTCTTTTCATAATTAAAAATCTGTATCTTCCCTAGTGTGGTATCCTTATCCCTACCCCAAAACTTCAGAACACACTTAAAGATCCTCCTTTCAGAAGAAACAATGCTCCTAGTACCTGTAGAGGTTAATGTCTGCAAATGATTTGCTGTTATTGATGGCAAACACACAAAGGAAGCCTTCGCCTGTTCTCATGTACTGGTCTCTCATGGCACTGTACTCCTCTTGTCCAGCTGTATCCAGTATGTCCAACAGACAGGTCTCACCATCTATAACCACCTGTTTTCGGTAAGAATCCTGGGGTGTGGCGGGTAGGAGGGTAGGGAGAGAGGGAGATAACATTTTTATTAAAAATCATAGGGGATGCAATACTACTGCCAAGGTTAAATAAACTCTAATCAAGTCCAACTCTGTCTCTTTGGTTTGTCCCTCAAACTGCTAATATATATATAATCACATAGAAAGTACTTAATGTCACCCTAGGAAAAAGTCCCAAATGCTATATGCCTGCAGAAAAGAAAATGTGGTCACTCTGTTACTGGAAAAAATGAAGAAAACATGGTAATTCAAAGGATAGTCTGTTGCAGATAAGACTAGAGATCAGGCTCACAGTGTATTTCACTGAGGTATGAACTGCACTTCTCTCATTTGTCTATTGTCTATTTACTATTCTAAACATATCTCCACCAATTATAACCTGGCCTAGGATACAGTGTCTTTTGTGTTCATGATTATATACACAAGTACCATTTATTTCAGAAAAGGTTCTAATACCAAACTATTTTTCTCATCATGACAGACTGTCATCATGAATATTTGGGAATATTCATCCCCATGAATCCCTAAAAGTTCCAAACAAGGTTAAGTTACATTAATTCCTGGGAAGAGAGAGATGCACAGATCATATTTAAAAAAAAAAAATTCAATTTGGCTCTAACACAAAATTTTTACTTTAAAAAAAAAAATTTATGTTCTGGGAACCCAAAGAAAATAACCTCATCACACACTAAAGATCTGGCTTCAGAAACAGTGTGTAACACAGTTTGCCAGCCTATTCAACAGCTTCTCAGTAACTTACTGCATTTCAGGACTGTAATATACTTTCAAATTAACAGAGAATTCACATTGCCAAAATTTCGCTGAAGCATGAAATATGGTCAAGTGTATGAGTGTTCTGGGGAAGTAAGCAAAATTAAAATTATAAAGATAGGTTTTAGTCAAACTAAAATATAATAATAGAAGTCAGAGAAGTGGCTATTTCCTGGCAGGACAAGGGGGTTTACTGACTAGAAAGGGGCATGAGAGAACTCTCCTGAGCATTGGAAACAGTCTGTATTTTTATCTATGTGGTGCTTACATGGTGTACACAAATTTAAAGCCACTGAGCTGTAGATATAAGACTTACTTTATGTAAACTACCTTTTAACAAATAAAACTCTGAAAAACATCAAAACATTATAACCATAAATACTAAAGCTGGTAAGCCTAAAATAAAATTTTGCCAAGGACTAATTTTTAAGAATGGCTATATTGGAGATAGCTTGCATTAAACACTTAGTCGTTGGGTAGTACAAAGACCAGGGTGTGGACTAAAATAATCTCTAGAGTTTGACATTTCTAAATTGAATAAGATTACAAACTATTTATGTAAAGGGTTTACTGAAATCAATCTGTAACATGAACTCCTACAAAAACAACAGAATCCTTAAATAAGTAATAATTACACTGCATCAGCATCCATAAAAATTTAACATACTTGATTTTTCACATTGCTTGTGTGTCAGGCAAGACAAATTTATGGTACTTTACTAGATGAAGAGAGTGACTGCTCACTGTCACATAACTAATAAACTGAAAGCAGGACGGTACTCCAAGGCACAGTGACTCAAAATCTCATGCTCTTTCTACCTCAACCCACAGTCTCAGTTGCTTCAACTAGCTAAGAAACACCTAGATCTCTCAATCCTTTTTCTCCATCCTGCTATTATTCAGGTATTTATACTATGACCCGTGTTCTTTTTAACAGAGCTGTCATATGTGAAGAAACTAACCGAGTTCAACAATGAGTCTCCAACAGTTTACAAAACGGTTAAAAATTGTAAACTTTTTATAAAATCTTCAGCAGCTAATAAAAATGAACTCTTTCCCACAAACATGTAAAAAAGCTTAATTTATTGTATTACTAAACACAGAGCCTCAAATAACTTTTTCTCTTCTGAATATTCCTTTAGCTAAAGAACAGCTGAAGGGTACGGGAAGGGAATGGGTAAGACTAAATGGAAAGAGAGAGGTACGGTCAGCGGACCACCACTGGGCCTCACCTCTATGGTGGGATCATATTCATCTACAAAGTGGTTCTGGATTAGCTGGATTGTCAGTGCACTTTTCCCGACACCACCTGCTCCAACCACCACCAGTTTGTACTCAGTCATTTCACACCAGCAAGAACCTGTGGGAAAGCAGCAATTAGGGTTAACTGGCGAACCACAGAACTTCAAAGCTTTCTGTAATCAATAGTAACTAAAACCAGAATTTGAAATGGATTGGTTCCGTACACGTTCATCTCCACTTGGTTCTCAAAGTGATTCAGGAGTGCAAATACACTTGCAGGTTACTGTGGATCTCAGAATTCTGGATTAATCTTCCAGCTACCCTCACCCTCGTTTTCAAGACTTTGGGCCCCGCCCTCAGCCTAAGGTAAAGGAAACCCCCCTTTCTACTCCTCCTGCAAATCTTTTTAGGTTTGGGGGGCGGCCGCCAGGCTGTCTCCCTTTCTTATTCCCCGCCCCCCCGCCCCCCTTTCTCCAGATAACTCCTCCGTAGGGCTCAAATCGAAGGACACCCCCGCCCGGGGCCTTTGTCTCCAGTTCGTAGATTCCGCTCGATTTCTGGCAACAAGGAATTATCACTATGCTCGAAAGCTGAACGCTACACACGCCAGAGCCTTACCTCTAGCTCCACTGCCTCCACTTCGGATAGATTACGACCACAACCGGGAAAATTGTTGGGAGACCCCGGAACCGCCATGAACAGCCCCCACTAGGGAGCGGCACTTCCGGCCCCGCCCGATACGTAATCAGTCTGCGCCCAAGTCCCCGCCCCGGCCACGTGGGCCTCTGACCCAGGAGTCACGCGGCAGGCCGCACCCAGACCCGCCCCTCCCATACAGGACGTTTTAATAATGAAAGCGCTAGGTGCTAGTGTCTCAAAAATCAGTAAAACTTTATTCGCTTCCATTCTTTCGCCATTAACAGAAAACTGGAGAAAGCAAAATGTTATGTGTTTACAAAGATAAATGGCCTCTTTACCCAGAGAAGATCAAAACCTCAAACGACAACGGGGAAGATAAAAGCACCCTCCCCCACATCCCCTGAGCTGACCCATGTCATCTTAGACAAAGCCTTCAGTCCACTGGCCAGGGACCTGGTATATGGCCAATTCAAGATGAGGGCCAAGAAATCAGACCAATCCGTTCCCGTGATAAAAAGTCGAACAGAAGTTACACCAAGGGTCAAGTGCCTGTATTTTTACAGGACACAGGAACCAGGCGGCTACTTATAAAAAAAACAAGATTCATTTCAGGCACAACTTTTTTATTATTTTTTCTTTTGTTTTGAAATCAGTAAAAGAAACTGGGTCCTATAAGCTGCAGTGATCTAAGCAGCAGCAAGTTTGTGCATTCGTCTTTTTGTTTTTGTTTAAATACGTTTAAATTATCACACTGCTGGCACACCTCATTTGCATGAAATTCTGCACCATACATACTAACTGTAGTAAAGTTACCCCCCCATGCCAGGAAAAAAAAAAAATACTACTCTGGAAGATAATTTTCACTGAAATCTAACCAAACTTCGTTTAAGTGGACTGTGACAAGATTATAAATGATATGAAAAATAACATTTTAACATTTGGCCATCAACTTAAGGAAATGGTTTGCCTATACAAATTTTGGTAATTTTTAATATATTCTACCCTCATATGGTCCTCAGAATTAAAGCATAATAAACAGAAAAGGAAAAAGAATGCAACTGAGTGCTAAGGCAGAAATTTTGCCAGAAGTAATGAAGGTAGAGTATATACTAAATATCAAGTGCAGAATTTCATAGGGCCAACAAGTTAACAGTCTATATTTTTCTCTTACACAGGCAAAGTGGATTTTGCAATTACCAGTTGCGTTAAATGCACCAAATAAAGCTCCTAAAATTGATACTATAAGGCGCCACCTTAAGTTTTCCAGGCTGCAACTGTGCATAATTTTAAAATGGTTTTCTTAAATTTATTTATTTTTTTAAACATAACACGAGGAAGGTGTTAAAACTGGTGTAATAGCTCAATAGAGTAAGTATTCCAGATTTTGGGAGGGATGAAGAGGGAGATATTCAGAACCCTTCACCAGAATCCCCCCAACTTGATCATAGTGGATTAATGATGTGCTTTGTGGATGTGGTTAGTCAATGACACCAGCTTGACGGATCTTTCTTTCTGCACCAAATCCCTGTGAAGAAATAAAATGGCAGTTAATGACCCAGGTGCATGACAATGGTTAATTTCACAATTCCAAAATGTAACATGATATATATATCACATATATGTATGTGTGATATTAATATATAATACCAAAGTATTACTCTCTATCACCACCAATTCTTTTGTAGAGGAGGAAATCTATAGTAAGCTCTCCTGATCTATTACCTAAACTATGTTCAAAGTATCAGAACATCAAGAAATGTTCCTCTTATTGTAAGCAACCATTATGTTAGGGGCTGACCCGATGTGCAGGGATCCTAACTGAATATGACAGTGATACTTGAAGCACTTTCGAAAATTAAGCCCTTTGAGCCATGCTAAAATAGGAGGACCTCAAGCAGTATGTTGGTTTATCAGCTGCCCCCATCTCCACCCTGAAACGTGTATGCCCTCCTACCATTGAGTTATCTGGTCCCCTTGGCTGACGAAGAACCATCAGGCGAGGAGCACTGGCGTCATCCAGGGTGATATTCTTCAAGCGATTGACCAACCTATCAGGTCGTGGAGCTGCAACAGCCTTGGGGCCCTCGCTATAACAAAGTCAAGAGATGAGAACAAGCAACTCTGGGTGGGAAGAAAGTACGTACATGCAGAATGTGTCTACTACCCAACTACCCAAATGACTCAGTGTTAATGAGGGGGGACTCTTGCCTCACCTAGCCAACTGGCTAGCAAGACAGGAGAGACAAGTTGGTTTATCTTTTTATTCCCAACTCAAGGAGAAGGAAATGGCAACCCACTCCAGTGCTCTTGCCTGGAGAATCCCAGGGACAGGGGAGCCTGGTGGGCTGCCGTCTATGGGGTTGCACAGAGTTGGACACGACTGAAGCGACTTAGCAGCAAGGTTTATTACTGTGTAGGAGCTGAAAGAGTATATACTAAATATCAAGTGCAGAATTTCATAGGGCCAACAAGTTAACAGTCTATATTTTTCTCTTACACAGGCAAAGTGGATTTTGCAATTACCAGTTGCGTTAAATGCACCAAATAAAGCTCCTAAAATTGATACTATAAGGCGCCACCTTAAGTTTTCCAGGCTGCAACTGTGCATAATTTTAAAATGGTTTTCTTAAATTTATTTATTTTTTTAAACATAACACGAGGAAGGTGTTAAAACTGGTGTAATAGCTCAATAGAGTAAGTATTCCAGATTTTGGGAGGGATGAAGAGGGAGATATTCAGAACCCTTCACCAGAATCCCCCCAACTTGATCATAGTGGATTAATGATGTGCTTTGTGGATGTGGTTAGTCAATGACACCAGCTTGACGGATCTTTCTTTCTGCACCAAATCCCTGTGAAGAAATAAAATGGCAGTTAATGACCCAGGTGCATGACAATGGTTAATTTCACAATTCCAAAATGTAACATGATATATATATCACATATATGTATGTGTGATATTAATATATAATACCAAAGTATTACTCTCTATCACCACCAATTCTTTTGTAGAGGAGGAAATCTATAGTAAGCTCTCCTGATCTATTACCTAAACTATGTTCAAAGTATCAGAACATCAATAAATGTTCCTCTTATTGTAAGCAACCATTATGTTAGGGGCTGACCCGATGTGCAGGGATCCTAACTGAATATGACAGTGATACTTGAAGCACTTTCGAAAATTAAGCCCTTTGAGCCATGCTAAAATAGGAGGACCTCAAGCAGTATGTTGGTTTATCAGCTGCCCCCATCTCCACCCTGAAACGTGTATGCCCTCCTACCATTGAGTTATCTGGTCCCCTTGGCTGACGAAGAACCATCAGGCGAGGAGCACTGGCGTCATCCAGGGTGATATTCTTCAAGCGATTGACCAACCTATCAGGTCGTGGAGCTGCAACAGCCTTGGGGCCCTCGCTATAACAAAGTCAAGAGATGAGAACAAGCAACTCTGGGTGGGAAGAAAGTACGTACATGCAGAATGTGTCTACTACCCAACTACCCAAATGACTCAGTGTTAATGAGGGGGGACTCTTGCCTCACCTAGCCAACTGGCTAGCAAGACAGGAGAGACAAGTTGGTTTATCTTTTTATTCCCAACTCAAGGAGAAGGAAATGGCAACCCACTCCAGTGCTCTTGCCTGGAGAATCCCAGGGACAGGGGAGCCTGGTGGGCTGCCGTCTATGGGGTTGCACAGAGTTGGACACAACTGAAGCGACTTAGCAGCAAGGTTTATTACTGTGTAGGAGCTGAAAGAATCATTTGGGTGAGGGTCATCCCTAGACCCTCATCCCTAGGTCCGCAATCAGAAAGACCAGTTCTGCAGACACATAAAACAAGGTACTGGGTAAGGAAAAAAAAAAAAAAAAATAGAAAAGGAAAAATATGAAGAAATATCTCCAGAGACTCTTAGCTCTTCTCATGCTAATGGTGTTATTAAAACAAAAACATAGTGCCAGAAATGCTAAACTATAAAATTTAGACAATGAAGAAATAACCAGAAAGTGGCAAAAGCGAATTACAAAAAGCAGTGATGGAAAGTGAAGAAACATGATAAAGCAGAGATCACAAGAGTTAAAAGACAGTCAAAGGAGGTTACTAATGAACAACAAAAAACTCACCAGACTCGCCAAACATTACAAGCACTGCACTTGCCAGTGCGCTGATTAAGAATCACTGAGAATTCCACCTCATCTCCTGCCTGTAGCTCAATGCCATCCTGAACTTCTTTCACATGGAAAAAGAGCTTCTTGCTATCTCCTACTTCATAGTTAATGAAGCCAAACTGAAAATTTAAAAAGACAGTAGTGTAAAAAAGTCACACCATAGGAGGGAAAAACTCACTTTCAGTGAAGCACAATGCTTGACCCTAATTAGAAGGGGATTTATAAAACATGGTGTCAATGCTGATGCCTGGGTTCTGCAAAACTTAGGGAAGAAATATATCTTTGAAATCACTGCCATTCACTCTACCACAGCCAGAGTAACAAAGGTTATCTTGTGCCTACACATAACGCATGAACTAAGCTACTGAATTAAGCAAAATCAGAAAAGTTGTTACTTGAACACAAGCTTGTTCTGTTTCCTTCCAAAATCAAGCTGGGTTATGGTATTACTAGAAACAGCCATACAAAATGTTATATTCACTGTATTGAAATTTTTAAAAAAGTCTTCTCTAAGGACTCACAGATTCCCTTGAGATCTTAAGTAACAGGAATAGTTTTGTTTGCCCAAAGTTTATTTTATGAAAACTTCTATATACATGGTTTCTTTCTTTGTGTAGTCTGCAGAAGCAGCTCTGAGCTCAAGTATGAACAACTCTTAATATGTCTTTCTATTCTGGAAGTCTCACTCTGAACTTATTGTCCCTGTTATGTTAGTTATTAGTACTACTTTTACTTTCCTTTTGCTACTATTGCCATTTTCTTCTCTCCATATAGTTTTTCAGTTTTTAATAAGCTCTTCAAATCATTGAAAAGGAAGATAAAGTGGAAATAAAAACAAAATGAATGTTGATGGTTCCTGCTTGGCTGAAAAATTTTCAAGGGTTTGGTTACCAACTCATAGAAGGATTCAGCTGGATCCAGAGGTATTACCACGTACCTGATCTTTCACACACTCCACTGTAGCCCTGCGCAGAGGTGTGATGTTGTAGGCCATAGTCTGTGCATTCTGGCCCAGAACACACAACTGGAACTTGACGCTCTCCCCTTTCTGTAGGCAGTCCCCTTTGTTGGCCATCCCAACTATGCCAAATGGATAGACCTCACCTTTCATATCCCCTGTAAGGAGAAACAGGTACAAAGTCTAAAAGCTAATATTTCACAACAGCCGTCTCTGTTGATGGTCCTAATAAATTTATAAATAATTTGCTAAAAATATTATATTCACTAAGATTTTTAATACCCCAGAAATTCTACTTTAAAGCTTCAATAAAATCCTAAATGTTAAACACTACCATGAAAATAAAGGAAAACTTGTAGCTCATTGTCACTGTACTAGCTAATGAACAGCTTTAAGCCACGTTTATAGGGAAAATGAAAAACTCCAACAACACTATCACTTACCATCTCATTACCTAGTTTTAAAGCACTATGGATTGCTCACATGATCCACTGGATTATCTTCTTTCCAAGTGCACAATATGAATGAGTCAAAAACATTTCTGATCCATATGCAACTGGACATTAAACATGCCAAGCACCCAAGCAAAAACACAATGTAGATAAATATTTTGGCATTCCACCTCCTTTCTTTGTTCTGATTGTGGCTCTCTCAAACCTAAGACACTTTTCTCCTAGATGGCCTGTCACACTTTTTCTTAATGTCAGATAGTAAATATTTTAATCTTACAGAATCCTGTCTCTTTCACAAGTACTCAATTTTGCTGTTGGCAGTAAGAAAGCAAAGACAGCATGTAAATGAACAGCTGTGGTTGTGTTTCAAGAAAACGTTATTAATAAAGTCGTCTTATTTGCTGAGCTTTGCCCTAGAATAAAAAGTTGGTTGGAAGTCAAGGCAGGCTACAGATAAAAACCAGGCCAAAGGGTTCAGCTACCTATCAGTTCATCTGGATAGTGAATTCACTGAATCAACAAAAGTAGAAATGAAGGTAAAAATATCAGATGGAAGTAGTAGCTTCAAAATTGGGAAGGCATTTAACCATTCTCTTGACGATTATAGAGGTAAGTGAAGATTTTCTTCTCAAACTGAGAGAAACTTAAAAACTTTGAGGAGATACTGCCAATAGAGCAAGTCATACAGGAGTATTAGGGACAACTTGACTAAGTGACATTAGTAGTAACTACCATTTACTAAACACTTACTATACTGATTCATACTTAATCTTCATAGAACCTTTTGAGGTTGAAGATATCTTCATTTTAAAAATGAAGAAACTGAGCAAGCAAAGATTTCTCTAAGGTTGTACAGCTAGCAAGTGGAAGAGCTTATGTGCAGATCTAGGTCTGTCCAGCACTGAAACCCCTGGTCTTATATTAGGTTAGTTGTCTTCCTAAAAGAGCTGTTCTCACCACCAAGTGGGGAAAATGTGATCTATATAGTTCCAGAAAACTCCAGGCTTGGAGATTTCAGGAAAATTTCCTTTTCTACAAAACCTTGTTTTTAGACTATATTGCAGTGTTGAAGAGTAAGTGGATTAGGGGTTGGGAATGCAAAAAAAAAAAAAAGTAAGTAAAAGGGATAATCAAAGAGAGGAAAAAAGGGTATTTCGATGTTATCTCATGAGTTAAAGTTAGTTGCCCACACCCACATGGCCCTTTTAACGGTTTGATAATCATCATGGCATCATAGTTCAATAATGACTTGCTATAAAGTTAATTCATATTTGGAGATGTGCATGTATGAGGATACTGGTTTCACAGAAAAAAGAAATTCCTAAGAACCTCATGTGATAAAAGAACAGGTTCATCAAGGCTAATGTCCTCCTCTCAAATGACCTGCTCTTTCCACTTTATGTTCTTCTATGACTCCCAGATGGCACAAGATTTATTCTCTTTTTAAATCAAACTATCATCTTTGGTTGGCATTTCAAACCCTCTTATCAACCTCATCCCTATGGTAATTCTGCTATATTAATCATCCAGTGTTCCCTGCTGTATTTCTATTGCAAATCTGTTGGGTCTTTCTGGTATTGTTTGGAGCAAGGCATTACAGCAGTTCTCAAGGAGTTGCCAAAGACTGGGGAAAAAAAGGCAGAAAAATGAAAAATAGGGAGCCGTGACCTAGAGACAAGTAGTAGGATCCTCACGGTATCCTGTAAGTAACAGACATAGTAAAATTTTACAGGAAGCAAAAATGTTTATAGAATTGAATAGTTATTAGGACATTTTGTCAATACTGATGTAAATAACCAGTGAATAATAGAGGAGAAACAAAATTGTATTAAACCCAGCCAATTGTGAATGTCTGATTATCAACCATTAAATGCATATGTTTAGTGTGAGATTTCGTTCTTAGTCTATTATAACTCAGTCAGTAGCTCACATATCAGTCATTTATTCACATAAATCCAGGCTGACCTCATTTCCAAGAAATAAAAAAAATAAAAGCCAAGCATGGGTAGGAAAATAAATCACTTCTTAATTCAGTTTTTAAGGACAAATGCAACACCACATTTTTAAATCTTTGAGATGCTCATCTGAAGGTAAGGCAAATTTCAAAACATGATAGAGATGTTCTTACCTTCGTCCACGATCTCAATCATTCCTTGGTATTCAGTCTGTGTTGGATCAACACTCCTCAAGGGGCGAATGACTTTACCAGAGTAGATGGTGGGATCAGCTTCCTCAGTAATGCCATTCACTACAGAAGAAAAGCATGTATACCTCTCTCTCAACAATTATATTGAAATGCTATTCCACAGGATTAAAAATCAAAAAGCAAAACTCATCAGGACAAATGTTAATAGAGGGCTAGCTGGCTGTCTGCTAGTCTTAAAATACTTCTAAACTATTATTAAAGATGTTCAAAGAATTAGTAAGTATTCATATTTAAACATGTCTCACTCTCTCCTTTTTCAGGTGACCAGATGTCACCTTGTGAGATATTCCCTGGTCTCTAGAAGTAGCGGCAACCCCAATACTTATATATTCTCCAACTTATTTTATCTTAATGTCTTTCTGAACATACTACATATTTCACTCATCTTGTTTTCCAGTTCGTCTTATTTCTTCATTGCTGTACCCCCAGTATCTAAAACACAGCATACATCTAGGTATTTGTTAAACTGAATGAACATTCTTAACTCCCACTTCTCTAGAAAAACATCATGAGAAAGTGTTATTTAGGGAATTGTATTACATAAAACCCAAAAAGGAAGTTGTAAGAATCAAAGATTCTAAATAGCAACGATTTTCTGAAGTTCCCTTTATTTTTCACATTTAAACTCATTTTTGTCTTCTAGAGGAATGCCTCCCTCCCTAACCCCATGGAAATTATCTTGGGGTTATTTTTGAAAAAGAGATATTGAATTGACAATAAACTCAAAGCAAATGACCTAAATAATCCAGAATAGTGGTTAATCCAGAACAGTGGTTTTCAAACTTCAATGTTCATCAGAATCACTTGAAGGATTTTTTAAAACAGGGTGCCCATCTCCAAAGTTTCAGTAGGGCTGGGGTCAAAGAACATGTATTTCTTTCTTTCTTTTTTTTTTTTTGACAAACATGTATTTCTAACAAGTGGCTAGGTGATGATGCTGTATCTAGGGATCACACCTGGAGAACACTGGCCTAGAACATTAGGGTTTTTGCTCCCTCTCCCCCCTTACCCTTCACCCTTTTTCCTAAAGAATAGGCCAAATCATCAGAAGTCACAATTCATTACCTGAGTGTGTTTTGTTCACTTTTTCTGCACTGACTTTGTTGCCTTTTCCTTTGGACAAGCTGTACTCGACCATGTCCCCCAGTTCCAGGCTATCAACATCACCAGAGAACTCACTACAGGGGAGGGGAAGGAGATGACATTAGAATAAATATTTACCACAAACATCAACAGGAGCAAGCAGCCTTTATTTCTTTTATTATAATATTCATGATGTGCTTACAAATTGGATACAGTTTTAAGCACTGACTCATATGATCTTCAAGAATATGCTATGAAGAGGTACCTTTATCCCCAGATTCAAGATAATGAAACTGAGATGCTCGGAGGTTACTTTCGTTCAATAAAAAGATAATAAAAGTTACACAGCTATTAAGTGGCAGAACCTGGATTCAAACTGAAACCGTATGGTTCTAAGAGTCCATGCTATGGGCTATGGCTAACCACTATGCTATAATACCAAATCAAATACACAATTTTCTGATAGCAACATATAAAACAGAATTCTTTTACTGAAGTAGACAGGGTCCTATACAATGTTCAAAGCAGATACAGGTCTTCCCGTATCTTTTGACCACATGTTTTCTATATAGAGGTAGACAATTAACTTTATATACTGCCAAAATTTTACCAATATGAAATCTGAGATTAAAAACTACGTAGCCACCCAATATTAATATTTTTGACTCCAAAACCAAAGAATGGAAGCTCCAAGTTCCTAAAAGGCAATCCTTACCTGTAATGGAAAAAGATTTCCTTATCATGATTGGCTGTTTCAATAAATCCAAAATTATCCTTCAAAGTTGCCACATAACCCAAGAGCCTCTTGGAGTTCGAATTACGACCTAAGAGTCGCACACAAGTTGCAATCTGCTGTCCAGGCCTCTGTTTGTCACTAATACTAAATTCAACCTGTGAAAAATAAGGATGCTTACTATGACATTTCCACATTAAGCGGAAATGACAACTCCCCCAGACCTTGCTTTCCACTTAAATATTCTGTATAAATAATTTGATGGAACAGAACTACTATTTCTCATTCCATTTTCCATAAAGATCAAGTTGTTCTACAGTGTGTATTCCTTATAGATGTCAATTTCTTTAAAGGAGGTCAATTAGAAAACCAGACATTTCAACCAAGTACAACAAAAAAATTAACTGCAAGGTAAAAACCTTTGGTATGATTTTACTTTGATGTTTCAGTGACTGTTTTAACTTTCTTACCAATATTATTTATTTTAAATAAGGTAATTCTTTTGACATATCTAATGCTTAAACACTAACTCCTCAAAAATCTTTTAACAAAAGTTTGTTAGACCCTATTCTAATTGAATAAACTGCTTTTAAATAGGAAGATGTTCATATATTAAACTTGTAAGCACAAAAGAATTGTAGCAAAACTTGATAAAGTTTAAAGAAACCATTTTTCAGGATTTAAGATTAAGATGATAACCTTTAACTCTCCCTCCCTCTCCTTTCTCTGCTAAGAATTATCTTGCCTTGTCTCCTATTTGAGGAGAAGTAGATCCTTCCACATCCTTGGCTTGAAAAGCAATAGTCAATTTCACTCCACAATCATCATAAGCAATAATGCCATCCTCAGCTTCCTAGAGATAGAGACAGAAAACAATGAAAAGAATCAAGAACAACTGAAAAAACACTATCAGCACAATTACAGTTATTACAGAATCCTGAGCCAGAGAACTGGCAGAAATTTCTTATCCAGGGTTCTCTAAAATACATATTTTTCATATGAATAAAAATATAGTCTTACCTTAACTCAAGGCCAACTCAATCTGCTGTAATTTGGTCTTAAAGTCTTACCCTAATTTTAACATTGAGGAGGGAGAACTTACTGACAATATGTCTATGCTAATTTTCACAGCCAATCAGAAATCACCTCCCCGAAAGAAAAAGCCCTATCTTCCTGTTAAACTAACTAGTGCTTTATAAAGAAACCTTGAGACTTTCTCATCTGTACCTCTATTCCGTGAGGAATATCCTTTCCTCATTTATCTCCACGGTCCTTAGTGAAACTGTCCCAGATGCTGCCAGTTTAAAAATTAACTTTTGACAAAGATCCCTTACTGACCTTTTACAGTAGCATTTAAAATTGTTTGAATTAACCTGATTCTATACAATTCTTAATCTGTTACTTAAGAGCAAAAATAATATTATGGATAGCTTCATATTTAGATTCAGTGGGTTTTTTAAAAAATGGGGAGTTCCAATATGTGAATTCAGTCTACCAAAATTTCAAAGTTTTAAATTTCTTGGATGACAAACACTATCATTTCAGATGAGTGGTTCTAAACTGGGAGTGATCAGGAGACATTTGGCAGATTCTGGAGACATGTCTGACTGTCACACAGGGGGAGAAAAGATACTGGCCTCTAGTGAGTAAAAGCCAGAGAGGGATGCTGCTAAACATCCCCAAACGCAAAGAACAGCTACCCACCTCCTCCTACCCAAAGAATTATCCAGCTCAAGATGTTAATCTTGCTGAGATTAAAATCTTTGCTTTAGATTGATTCACTGTTCATATTATAGGGGATTCTGAAAGACTAACACTCCATTATTGTATGCACAGTGGTTTCCTTTAAAGAGAAGAGACAAACTGCAAAAATCACTTTGATTAAAACTTACCTTTTCTTTGCCTTTATTTGGGCTAGTGGTTTTAGGATTCGAAAAAGTGGCCTCTTTTTCTACAGTGCCCAGAAAACGATGATCTGAATGGGAGTGGAACGAAACCGTGCCCTTGGGAAGTTTTTTAATCCTAATAGCATGATTTCTTTGGGCAGACAGCATATCCTACAAATGAGAAAAAAAAGTAACTTAAAACTGAAAAAGGAAAGACCAAGAAAACCTCTCATACTTTTCTCAAAAACTACTCACAGGAACCACAGTAAACTCTACTTCATCTGCAATATGAAGCTGGTTCCCATCCAGAATTTCACTGAAGTGGAAGAACATACGAGCATCACGATCCACACACTTGATGAAACCAAAACCATCTCTCATGGCAGCAATTACACCCTGAAACCAAAGTAATACTGGCTGTGAAGGCTGTCAAGACAACATTCAAGTTTGGAAGTATCACATTAAATTTGTTAGGAATTAAATATCCAAATCTTATATTCACATTTAAAAATTTCCATTTAAATACAAATTCACTGATTTCAGTAAAATAATCTCTAAGCAACTGAGACTCCCCAGATGCTACTCCTTGGCCAATAAAGAGTAGAAAAATTATTTCTGAAGTAAATGTATGCAGCACATTACATTTAATTTTCTTTTTTTTTCCATTTATTTTTATTAGTTGGAGGCTAATTACTTTACAATATTGTAGTGGTTTTGGCCATATATTGACATGAATCAGCCATGGATTTACATGTGTTCCCCATCCCAATCCCCCCTCCCGCCTCCCTCCCCATCCCATCCCTCTGGGTCTTCCCAGTGCACCAGCCCTGAGCACTTGTCTCATGCATCCAACCTGGGCTGGTGGTCTGTTTCACCCTTGATAGTATACTTGTTTCAATCCTATTCTCTCTGAACATCCCACTCTCATTCATTTAATTTTCAATTGTCAAAAATATTGTTTTACAAGATGAGGAAACTGAGGTCGAAAGAGGTTAAGTAATTTGCCCAAAGCACACAGCTACTAATTGGCAAATAATGGATTCCAAATAATGCCCAAGCTTTATGACAGTTTAACTTCCAGAAATGAAAAATCTACGGAACAATACTTCAAATACCTCAAAAGTCAACTAAAGGCAACTTCATAATCTCAGTTTCAAAAATCTTTTGACTTTAGGCACAGGAGGACCTAAAATTTAGGTTTGAAAGATAAACTATATAAAGTTCCATTCCATCCTCATATTTTTTTTTCCCTTCATATTAAATTATCAGCTCTGTAAGGGCCTTATATCCAGAATAATTGGACATGACAGGTACATGAATAGTTACTGAAACACAACTATAATCAACACACCAATGACTTACATATTGTACATTTACATATTACAGAGACAATTACTCTATAATCAGTTTTGAATATAGCCTAAGCTACATTCTGACATTTAATCCTTGCTAAATCCTGATGATGTTCTCCACACTGTAAAGCAAAACAGATATAGGAAACTTTTTTTTGAAAACACTGCAAATGTCAAAGAAGATCAGCTCTCCTAATGGTTAACAAAAGTCTCAAGAAACTTCAATATTCATTGAACATATCCAGTCCTACTGACAACACTGGGAAATATTACAGATCAGCAGTCCCCAACTTTTTTGGCACCAGGGATCCATTTCATGGAATAGAACTCTTCCAAGGACCTAGAGGTGAGGGGTCGGGAGGGGGTTCAGGCTGTAACGTGAGCAATGGGGAGCAGAAGATGAAGCTTCGAGAGCTTGCCTGCTGCTCACTTCCTGCTGTGCAGCCTGGTTCCCAACAGGCTAAGGACCAGTCCAACGCCCTGCTGTAGCTATTAACTCTAAACAGCACCAAATGTATATTACATTTGATAAAACTAATTCATGAAAGCTGACCTTTTAAAATATGTTTGGGCAACACTGGCATACATCATTTACAGACATATATTCACTAATAAAAAGTTGCAAGTCCTACTGTAAAAACAAAACCTACTTTGTAGAGTATTTTATGGAACAATCTGGAAAAATCTACTTTCTACAAAGATGAACTTAAATCAACTCAGTCTTCATATTTAAGGGCCAGAGAAGCACTGGCTCTCAAAAGACCTTAGAAATCATCCTCTCCAGATTTCCATTCTAAAACCTTCTCACATCTATTTCAAGGTAACGGGGAGAGTAGGGTGTCAAACCAAGATTGATTCAATGTCTATATTCTTAATCACCTTAATAAAGTAACTTACCCAATACTGTCATGCCTCAAAGAATTTTCAATACCACATCACAAACTTACATATAACATTGTCCCACCTACCTTCCACATTGGATATGAATCTAATAAAGTCTGATACTTACCATCTCTCTGGCTTCATTAGTGAACTGAAATGTATTTGATAGAACTTCTATGTTGGTTGCTCGTTCTAATTTGTCACGACGGTCTGTTGAAATATTAAACCTAACGTGGTCACCTTCCAACAGGGTCACCTTGGATTTTGTATCTTTGTCTCCAAAGGGAAGTTCTTTAGGAATCACAAAATCAACTTTGATGCGTCCTGGCAATGGGTCATTCTGATGAGAAGGAAAAACTATTTTAGCTGGAGATTTCTCATCCTTCCTAGTTCTAAGTCAAACAGAAGAACACACAGTAAACCCATGTTATTTATAATAGATAATTCCCTAAAGGAAAAAAAGGTGTTGAAAACCTATGTTCAATTTGAAAGCTTTTGTGTTCTGTGGTCACATGACACAACCATGAACTCATGATACTGCAGTTAAGATTCTGCACTCTGATACTAAGAGATTTTATTTAAGGAAAAAAAAATTCAATCTCGTTTCATGTTTTACATTTCCTTAACAATGATACCACTGGTCTCATCTCTTCACTCCACCCAGACCCCATACATACAAAAAACCCAACTGGGGCCCAAGCACACACACATGGATTGTTCACCCCCCTCCCCCCCCATCTAACCAGCATTTTTTTTTTGGTCTTTTTCTCCATATCACCCAGTTAAAACAAACAAACATATTCATGAATGTCCCAATGGTCTCCTATTTAGTTTTAATTCTACACATGAAATACTTAATACTTATCACAAAATTACATTAATTGAATATAATAAAACTTCTGTATACCACACCATATTACTCTATTTCTGATGAGGCAAAAGATGACTCTCCTGAAAAAGACTATTTACCTGGTTTTTACTGGGTACTTTGGGGATAACTTTGGTTACAGTTCCTTCAAAATGTTCAATGCTGATATCTTCAAAAATGACTGTTCCTTGAGGCAAAAGTCTGACATCTGTTGCAACTTCTTTACCCTAAATAAGAAGGGAGCAAGGGGGGCACACATGTCATTTTAAGTGTTTCATAAATTTTAACTACTTATCTTATAAGGTCAAAGTCAAGTTATTTAACTATCTTACATTTCGGTCCTTGATTGTGAATTCCACGTCATCTCCAGGCTGTAAGGATTCTAAGTCACCCTTAAATTCACTATAGTGAAAGAATATCTCCTTTACAATATCTCCTCTTTCAATAAAGCCAAACGCCTCCTACAGGCAAACAAATATGAAAAAAAAAACCCAGCAGGAATATTATGCACTATTCAGCATATATATTTATGATTACAATTTACAATTAAGAAGTCTTTTCAGTGGCAACATTATTATTTGGTACAAAAGTCTAATATTAATACTAATTAAATGGTCATTTTAAAGAATATAATTAGTAACCAGATTGCTTTTGAAGTTAATATTTTTTAAAGAAAAGACAAAGAGGAAAAACAAAGCCTTGGGTTTTAAAGACTTAACACAGCCAAAGAAAAAAACTCAAGTTTGTCAAATTTGATGACACTTACTTTCATGGCACAAACTACTCCCTGATAGCGAGCTTGTTTCTTTTTCAACAGCATAATATTACGAGCACTTACAGCACCAGTACTGGGAAAAAAAGAATCAGGTCGGGATGGTGGGGAACAAAGAGGGGTGGAAAATGCATTGATTTGGTTAGATATGATGACTTTAGAGAAACAATAATTTTCTAAGCCCTCAAGACTTCTGCATCATCACTAATATTAAGATTTTCTAATACACAATCCTTTTCATATAGCTTCACGTGCAAAGGACTTTTGCCCAACTTCCTAGCTTTTTAAACTGGGCACATTTATATGTAACCGTTTTTCTTTTGGGCTGTTGAAAATAAGTCCACAAATTGGCTGCCATCAGATGGGGAATGCTAAGGTTTTAGAAAGGCTATTACTTGAACAAACAGAGTAGGAATTATGTATTGCAAACAAACATATGAGGAAAGAGAGATAAATAAAAGATGGCCCTGTTTGCAATGAATACTGTAGTAGCTATCCTATCAATCATACAGCAAAGAAACGTGTAATGCAGCGATTATAGGAGATATTTGCTAAGCTTTAAAAAAGTGACATTCACCTCCATTGAAAAGAGACGTCATATGTTGCTAAACTGTCCCCATCTTTGAGCAGCAGCATGTAGATCTGATAGTGACCCCACTGACTGTAGCCCACCAGGCTCCTCTGTCCGTGGAATTCTCCAGGCAAGAATATTGGAATGGGTAGCCATTCCCTTCTCCAGGAGATCTTCCCAACCCAGGGATTGAAGCCAGGTCTCTTGCATTACAGGCAGATTCTTTACCTCTGAGCTACCAGGAAGCCCTTAAAGATGGCACAAACTGTCTAAGATGGAAGAGTATTTGTTGGTGTTGTTTTTAAGATCTTCAGACCAACCTATTGGTCTATTACTTCCCTTAATTCTTCATGGTCAAAGTGTAGCCCAATTGTGCTTTTTATTTCAGAAACTTAACAGATTAACAGAAGATGCTGGAAAAATCCTATGTGCTTTCGCAACTCACTACAGTGAAAAGGTCTTATGTAGAGCCAGATTTGGGATTGAAATGTCAATTTAAAAGCTGTGTGACTTTAGGCAAGTTACTTTATGAGAACATACCTCACTTTACACATGGAAGACTTATCAGGTAAGGCTGTTCTGAGGATTAACAACTGTACATAAATATTTAGTACAAGAGCTTAGCACATTCAAGACTTTATTTAAAGCCCTTTCATTGGCTCCCCATCCACCTCAAGCCCTATTTCCTACTTAATGAGGTCTCAGACTATCCATACCTGTAACTCAATCTGATTTCTTCTAGTCTCACAAGAGGTAAAGCTCAAGGCTAAAAATTCTGCACACACCTGGAACTTTATTCTGTACTGCCACTGCAAGTCCATTCCCAGCAACTTCTCCTATTTTTAAGTTCCCTTTGTGCTTGTATCTATCTTTTCCAGTCTAAAGTAAAAATAACCATCCCTGGGCTTTCTTAACTACACTTTCCTTGACTGCTTATGCCAAGGAATTCAACAGCTCTATTTCCTGCCTGTCACTAGCTTGTTTAGATCTATACATACAACTACATATTTAATATCTTCACTCACAGACACCTCAAATTCAAAATGCCAAAATAAGCATAATTCTTTTCCCACCCTTAATCTTTCTGCTGTACCTCCTAAGTCCAGTTACTGGTATCATTAGCTGTCCAGTAGCCCAAGCAAGAAAAATGGCATTTGGGACTCCTCTTCCCCTAGATCTAATAAACACCTCTAGCAAGTTATTAAAGTTGGTGACTTTTTTTCCTCTTATGTGACTTGAGTCCTATACCCTACAACCACTGGCCTATTCATATTAGACCTGTATCTTTCATATTAACTCTCACATCTCTGCCTCTTGTCTAGAGCATCCCTACTCTCCAAAAGCCTACCATCCCCACCACTTCCAACAATTGAAACCATACTTCCCCAATTAAAATCCTTCAAAGATTCCTGTTACTAATGAATAAAGTTCAAACTTCATCTTTCTATGATCCAGTCAATTCAATCAACTCAAACTTCTGGCCATTTTACCCAAATGCTACTTCCTCTACCCAGAATGTTTTTCTCATTTCCCTAGTGACTCCTCATCTCAGAGTGTGCCTCAAGCACTGCTGTTTGGCAAAAATTTCACGGATCTCCAGTAGAGATCCTTGAAAGTTCTGATCATATTTTAATTATCCTCCTATTTCTGACACCTTGCATAGTGCCTATCATAGAACTTGATGCTCAAATGTTTAGCTGATGAATAAACATTTAAAAGATCATGAAAATTATCCAGATTTACAAGTCAGGTTTTTGACTCACTTCAAACTTCTTACTGCAAAAAGAAAAAATCCACTGAAATGGGAGAAAAGAACTTACTGTTTATTGTTATCAATTACAAAGTTTATTTTATCTCCAGTTTCCAGCTGAACATTCCCTTCAACATCTTCAGGGGTGTAAGTCAGATAAAACACTTCCTGTGAATTAACAAGTTATTATTACTATATTGCAGGATGCATGTTCACTGTATAATCTGACTTACTTTGTTAAATACTTCTTAAACTGGCATTTAAAACCAAATCTCTTAAAATTAAATGACTTTTTGACAAGTACATTAACTTATTCATATAAACACACTTTCCCTCCAAGGTGCTGATGACTTCTGCGAGTCCACAGCTGAGCAGCAATCCAACTTCAAAAAGCTTAAACACGTGGAAGCATTTGCCCAGAGGCTGTAGTTACATTTCAAAAAAACAATTTTTATATAAGGCATTCCAAACAAAAAAGCTGGAGTTAGTGCTTAAAAGGAACCAGAAAAAAGATCCCTTCCCACAACCCCCACAAAAAGTAAGTAAAAGAAGCATTTTACCTTAATGTTCTAACTAAGGTCACACGTGGGCAAGCTAAGACACTTGGAAGTCCTATGGATTTTTTTTTTTTTCTTTTTAAAGTTTTTGATTATGCTGCACTCAAAGCCTCTTTGAAACCAAATTTAAAACTGATTTTTAATCAACTGCAGCTTACGTTTTCTATTTTGAATTTTAAAGTACGCTTATAGATCACATGGTGGATCAGGCAAAGGTTTAAGAAAAATACACAAGTTTACCCCATTACGTTCGTAGCATACACTCCCTGTTGGACTCTGACCCGGGGCAGCTGGAGATTTACTCTCTAAGTTGTGAGGAACAGCGCACACAACCTACCAGTCAAAAAAAAAAAAATTTCCATTGCTAATCATTTCAGGAGCAGCACTGTGCAATATAAACTGAATTTTAATATCCTCTATACTATACACAGGGATGCATTTTAATATGATCCACAGAGGATGTCATGCTGCCAAGTTTCAAACTTACAGTACAGAAACAGACTGTAAGTATAGACTTAGGGTTATATGTAAAAACCCAAATGACTCTTGACCTGATTTTTATTTCAGGTCAAGAAATGCCAGTGCTTCTGATATACTTTTAAAATAGTAACTTTTATATACTATAGCTCTCTTGCGTGCAAACTGAGGAGATGGGGTGAATCTTCCTTTTCTAATGTGAAAGATATGCAAATTCAGGGCCCTAAGAAAATATAAAGCATCAAAGTCACTAACTTGTCCATTAATTCGTTCTTCAGGGAGGATTTCTTGTTTTATCTTCACCAGTTTAACAGCAATGGGTTTCCCAGTCCGCCGGTCAGATGATACTTCAAATTCAACATCATCTAAAATAAAGAGTGTTATATTTGTTGAACTAATTCTGGGAAAATGGTATCTCACTTTAAAGTTAAACTTAATGCCGCATTTGAGTTTTTTCTCTAAGTGTAGTCCCTGGACCAATGGCAGCAGCAGCAGCATCACTTGAAGCACAGAAGACATGTAAATTCTCAGGGCCCACTCCAGACTTACTCAAAAACAAGACTCTGGGCATCAGGTACAGCTATCTATGTTTTAACAAGCCTTGTAGGTAACTTTGATACACACTGTTTTAGAACCACTGCTTTAGACTAAGTCATCTCAGTCTTAGTTTTCACAGCACTTACACATACTACAAATGGTGCAACGTGATGATGATGTGATTTGGCAAGCTTCCCCCCCTCCCCATTAAAATCCCTCTATACCCTCAGTTACTTCATCTGTAAAATGAGGATTAACCAATATAACATTCTTGTACAATATTTGGAATGCCAAATATTCACGTTAACACATTATTGACCAGAGACGCATCAATACATTTTTAGAGAAAGACAATCAACATCACTGTTCAAAGTCATTAGATCTTAAAATTTATAAAAAAAAAAAAAAAAATTTATCACAGGTTCATTACACAAGTTACGACCGTCCTTATCATTCATTTTGCTCTTTTTTTGTGCCAACCCTGTGTATATTATAAATGCAAGTTTATCACCATAAAAATTTTTTAAATGATACTGCAAAATTTTGAGTGAAAAATTTTTTGGTGAATTTTACACAGATTCTTTCTCTCACTATCTGAGAGACATATATACTACTGGCTCAGAAGATGACAGTTCTTCAACATATAGTTCAGATGATGTGACTATTAGACCAGCAAAAGCACAAAAACCCTTAGTGACCGATTCCGATACAGAAAGTGAAAATGCAACTCCTGGTGCTGGAGGAGACTCCACAGGTGAGACTCCACAGGTGTGTCAGGTGGTAACTACTGAATGGAACAACCCACGAAGTGTTAGTGAAACGACAGAACTAATTTCTGGCCAGCCAAGATAAAAATATCAGACACTGGTTTCTGCAAAAATCCCTCAGTTAGTAACGAGTTAACTATTGCTCTAACTTTTTTCTCAAAGGTATTTTAAAACACACAGAGACCTTGTAACTTCAGTCCTTTAATAAGCCACACTTTTTCTACACATGAAAGTAATTTCTATGGTGTCAGCCAAAATGAATTTCCATATAGTCCAATGGTGACATCGTATAAGTTATTTTTTTTCAGCTACTACCCAAGCTAGGACCTGGCAAAACAATTAAGACTAACATTATAAAAGTTTAATATTTTACTGGCTTAAAACCCAATAGCCAAACAATCATTATTAAGGGGAGTAACAAATCTACCAAGTATTTACTTAAAATATATTCAAAGGTATCTTTTACTAAATTACTCTTTCATCCCTCAAAAAGATCACCACCACAAGCGAAATCAGGATTCTGCTGATTTATATAGACAAACTTCAGTAATTGGTACAATAAAAAGGCCAAAACCATAGCACTGTCAAGAATATGCTGATATGCAAGAAAAATTTGGGATCAGTTTGATAAAAAGGAGAACCGACAAATTACCTCCTACTTTTAAGTCCTGCAGGTTGCCATTATACTGTGAACAGTGGAAGAAAAGTCTAGCTTGACGTTCTGAACACTGAATAAATCCATAAGAGGTTAGCAGTTTTTCAATAACCCCAGTTTCACGCAGTGCTGCTGAAGTACCATTGGGGTACCCATTATGTCCATTGTTGTGGAGAAGGTTTGGATCAAAGCTCATCTGTTAAAAAGAGAAAGAACTCAATACATACAGATCTGTACATTCTCTCTGTAGCATACTAAGTCTGATTAACAAATTACTGAACTTTTAATATGAAAAGGCAAAGAAAATAAAGGTAATACAAATAAAGGGAAGATTATGTGTTTTTATTATGGAAATGTTAATTTAGCCAATAAAACATTTCAGAGGAAGTAATTCAAATTATTTTGGGAAACAGTCCCAATTTATGGTAGGATTTTCACATCCCACAAATCACATTTCTGGAGTTTAAATATAAAGACAAAGCAACCACGTAAGTAAAAGCTGCCTTTAATTAAATTACTAAAACAACATCATCAGGACAAAGGCAACTAATATTCAAGAGATGGAAAACCAAACTACCAGGACATATCATTAAGGAATTTATTAATACTTATTTTGAAAGATAAATAGAAACCTTGATGCTATTTGGTAAGCCATGCATCTTGAAGGCAATTCCTTAAGTTAGTAAAAAGAATAAAAGAAACCTTCTATGCAATACTTATTTCAAACCAGAAAATGCATGCATACTCAGGTCTTTTAATGGAAGATGACTGAAAACAGTGAGTTAGACAAGAGTTTTCTAAGAACTCCAAGACAACAAAAGCTCTTCAACCCTAAAAATAATCAATCACTTCATAGGCACAATTAAAAGAAATCTTTTCATTTGTTTCAGACACTGATGAAATCTCCAAATACTGTCATTTGTTTCTATGATTAGATAAAGCAAAATAAAACATTCTTTAGTAAAAGAGGGGCTATTTAAATGCAATGCACCTATTTAATCATCAGATACTGTCTATCACAGTGGGTATTTCATTTTATTTAAGTGAAGCATGACATAGGACAAAATCCCCAGGGAAAGTTAGGTCTATAACTGATCTACTATAGCAACATACCCACATCTTTACAACTAGTTTTAGACTTTTTCATTGAAAATTTGACTCATAAGCATTTTCACTTGTTTGATGTTGGGCATTAATAAGAATATTTTTCATTAGAAAAAAAAGACCACTGAAATTATAGAAAGATAAACCCAAGTTTCAAGTAGTTAAACACTGTGTGGGATAGCCAAATCATGCAAAACATGTGATGTGCAAAAGCCATCACATCTATAGGTGGTTAGTTCCAGTTCTTTCATGGTAGACACTGTTTTGTGCTGGATGTGTGTAGTAACTCATTTAATTTTTACAAAAGCCCAGGAGGATGTAATACTGTCCCTATTTCACTAATGATGAAATAGACAACTGAAATTAAATGACTTGCAAAAGTCAAATGACAGAGGATTCAAAACCATATGCACAATACAGACTCTAAACTAGGGCATGTCAAAGTGAAGTTACCCAGTGATCTGGTTAAAATACAACATCTGACTCACTGGCAGGGGCTTGAGATTCTCTACTTCTAAGAAGTTCCCAAGGGGATACCAATGCTTTTAATTCCTGGACACCCTCTGAGTAGCAAGCCCTACACTACTAAACTTACCTTTCGGGATTCAAGGTGAAGGAAATGCTTAGGGAAGTTAGAAAGTGAGTTTGCAGGGTATTTCAATCAAACTGAGTGATGCCTCTTAGTCATGCTCTTAACACAAAGAAAAAAGCTAGGATGACTGCTTCCCTGACTTACAGATCTCTGATACGTGGGGGTCCTCTTTTGTTTTTTAGTCCCAGATGAGGTAGAAGATGAAGATAAAGGTAAAGAAAGTGAAGGAGGGGCTGCAGGAGGGGGATGAGGATCGGATGACACAGTAAAAACGTTCTCCATCTCAAACAGCTGTGATAACATAGCACAAAGTTTATAACTATCATCAATAACAATTTAACACACATTTGACAGTCAACCTGTGTATCTTTACCTTTACCATTAGGTTACTTTAGCAAAATAGAAATCATTTAACCAGATTTGTATCAACAAAATAAATTATAGCATTAACATTAAAAGGTCAAACTGAAATTTTTTGAAGCACTTACTTAATCCTGAATCCACAATATTTACAGTTTTTAAAATGCTGTAAGGACTCTGGTGGTTGCTACAGTGAGACAATTGAGCCCAAAGTCTCCAAAATGTCTCACAACTTCACACAGAATCCAACATTCTCAATCACTTGCCTCCCTAAAGAAGGTTATACACAGGATAATTCAATGGTGTGTAGGAAGAAAGAATCTTAACTAGAATAAATATATTTTGTCCAGAGATAACAATTAGCTTTTAAATGGTTACTATGTATTTATGGAAAAGGCTTTGCTGAATTGCTTTGTCAGATCATATCACAGGTCAAACATAAAGTATTCTGAGGTTAAGAGTGGAGAGCCTCATAAGAGATTGACAGTGAAGCCCTCGTTTATTTACTTTCAGCATATTAAGTTTACATTTCCCCAACTAAGTGCACATACAAATTTAGCTATCTAGTTTAATTAAACTCCCTCACAAATAGAAAGTGTTGAGAAAGATTCCTAGAGAAGAATCTTAGATAGAAGATAATGCTAATAAAGCAAGCAAAGGCAGAGTACTGGGAGCCAACACTCCTAATCCGGGCATTAGTTCTTGTACTTCCACATTATGAAATAAACCACCATTAATGAGATCTGACAAGTCCCACAAAAAACTAAGATCAAGACTGTGATACTTCGCCACCAATAGTAGTGATAAAACACAAAATCCATGCTGTGCCTTAGATGTTAATTCATGGTAGTATAAGGTTTTTAAATGAAACACTTACAAACTAAGCATCCAGATATGTATTTTGAGTGAGGCTGGAAAGTTTCTGTTAACAGGTAAACTACTTTTAAAATACTGCTTATTTTATCTTTGTTCTATTTGTACCACTGATTTGTAATGCAAGTAAAGTATAATCACACAATTTATAAAAATATACACATGTACATTTTCAAATTAATTTGAAAGCCACTATTCCACCATCACTGACTTAGATCATGACTTTCAATCTCTGCTTTCTTCATGTTTAGACTATAGTTCTAACCATTCAAGTAAGAATGCAATGATATGATCTATAATACATAGGGCAGCAAGCTGCAAAAACCACATTTCCAGTCCTAGCAGTGTAGCTAAAGGTAGGAGGTAGTAACTCATTTTTCTCACCCTAAGGGAAAATGAACCAGAATCAGAAGGGATTACAGCTGTCATTTCCTTCTAAGACTAAACTGTTCCCCAGGGAGGGTACTGGAATTTAGCCTGTATTGCTTGAATCTCATTGCACTTTTAGATGTGCACATCAAAACAGAATTGAAACAGAATCTCTCCTTTCTCCTAGTATCTTAAGTTTTTTTTATCTACCCTTTATCCAATTTGAGAACTACTTTTCAAAAATGGAAAAACCATGTATTATTCAAGCAACTTTAGAGAAGACAGTACGTTAACTCTTAATAAAATTCCTAATAGTACACTTAAATTCTTTTTTAAACAAGCACCAACAAAACTTTAAAGAAAACACCATTAGACAAAATGGTAGGTTATTTAAAGAAGAAAAAACATTAAAACCAAACAATTACATAAAAAAAGAAATTCAATGGAAAAAGCAAGTAGCTCAACAACAGATGCTTGTTTATAAAAAATTAAAGACAGCAACAAAAAAGGAGGTGGTGGTAGGAGGAACGAACCAGTATATAAATGTTATTTGGCTTTTTTAAAAAATAGGTGGAAAAATCTATAGTTGCTCAATTCATAGCATAAAGTATATTTCAGATGAACTGCATTAAATGCCTTAACAAATATTAAATAAAAATGCATGTATTTATAAAGATTTTGGAAAGGGGACTTTCTAGATTTAAAGTCAAAAGAAAAAGATGCAAGGCAAAGGATCGCTATTCAGTTATGTAAAAAGTATAGACTTTTATACTCAAACCTAAAAAGAAGAAAAGCACATGCAAATACGTAAGTGTATCATTAAAGAATTTAAGCAAATCAGTTAAGAATTAAACTACCAGAATATACGCTTCATGAGAACAGGTACTTTTTGTTCAAAGCTAAATCTCCAGTGTTGCACAGAGTTTAGCACATAGTAAGCACTTATTTGCTGAACTGTGGAAGACAAATAAACTAAGTCTTAAAAGATTATTCATTAAAGACAAAATATATAAGCTTCAATTGTGGCAAGCAAATATTCAGATAAAAGCAAATTATTCATTTATCAAACTACCAAAGAAAAGATTTAAAAACTTTGAGAAAGTAGGTTAAGAACACGCTAGTATTTTTTCATGGTAGTAAACTGGTGGAATCTTTCTGAAATACAATTTAACCACATGTACCAAAACAGGGGTGTTTTCCTTAATAATTCTACTGCAGGAAAACTATCCTGAGGAAATGTGAAATGTGGACAAGGCTTTATGCACAAATGTGTTCACTAAAATGTTTTAATAACAAATTTCTAGAAACAATCTAAAGTTTAACAATGGGTCAGTAAGTCACAGTAATGTATATAATTGCAAAAAATATTTATATGATTTCAACTGGTATTTTAAAAAGGAAAAGACCATGAAAATCAACTTTAATACTCACAGACAAGAAAATACTTAGATGGTGTTTGAAGGGCACAGAGGTAAAACTGGTAAATGGGAACACAATCTAGTACTCACTCCTCACTCCACCATTCACATTCCTAACCACTGCTTTATGCACTAAACCATGATGAGTGCCTACAATGCAGCAGTGCTGTTCTAGGTTCTACCTGTATAGTAGTGAACACAAAAAACAAATATTATCAAGTCCAAGTTTAGACTTTTTCTTCTTCCAGCATCTCTTGAGTTGTTTCTCCGTTTTTCCTAACCTAGTCTGCTTGGCTCTCACTGAAAAGGAATTAAGTTTAGAAAAGGTAGTCTATGGATACCAAGGGGGAAAGCAGTCAGACAACTGGAGAATGCAACTGACATATTTACACTATTGATATTATGTACAAAATAGATAACCAATGAGAACCTACTGGCACAGAGAACTCTACTCAATGTTCTGTGGTGACCTAAATAGCGAGGAAATCCAAAAGGGGATATTTCTAAATATACAGCTGATTCACTTGGTGATATAACAAATCTAAACACTATAAAGCAATTATACTTCAATAAAAATTAAAAAACAAACAAAAATGAACCAAGGTCAACTAATCACAGACAACTGGGCTTTAAGCTACAGACAATGATAACGTCCTTGCTTCCACTTCTTCTCTGTAAGTCTTCTCCCTGCTCCCATCGTAGAAGCACACCTCAGCACTTCCAGTTTGCCACTGCCTGACTGAAATCAATCAATGTTCAAATAAACTCTTACCAAAAAAACCCCAATCTATTTCACTGTACAACAGTTTTAGAAAATGACTGTCTTCTTAATCTAAACATACTTTCCCTTAACTTCCTTCCTCTGCTCCTTTCAGTTTTCCGAATGCAACCGTTTTTCAGACTAACTGCTGTGTTCTGGATATGTTCTAAATAATTATCCACTGAGGTACATGTCACTAATTCTCTTATTGTACCGTGACTAATAACATAATACAGACAGCACTGAGTGATTATGTTTCTTGATTCTTGAAACTTCTATAAGAAGTTTCAGTAACTTCATATAACTAGGAAAAAAAAATCCTCTATATTACTTAATAAATCAGTAAAATCAGGTTTTTCCTTCTCCTATTTCTTATAACTGATCATTTATTACTAAAGAAAAAACTAACCTAATAGTTAGGGTTAGTTACTTCGTACAAAAAGCCTGGAATGATGCTTATACATAAATATTCACATAACTACTTATTGCTAAATCTTGAAAAGGAAGGAAGATAGAATCTGGCAGCATATATGTGGAGAGCCCTTTGAAAATCAGTCCATTATTCAAAGTCTTTTAATGTTTATTATGCAATCTATATTTCTGCATACTGATCACTATGCTATCATGACATGCTCCGTCAAATCTTACTGAAAATTTTTTATTTTGGGCTCCTGGACTTTTGATACGGACGAAGAGCAAGCTCTCAAGTTTGCACACCTGACTTTGAAAATTAATCAAGACATGTAAAGTTCCTGGTCATGGGTCTCCATTAACTACTAGCACACTCCAGCAAGTTACCCTGTCATCTTATTGACTGGGGGCTTTAGTTTTCTTTTAATGTTCCTAGCTTTGCTTTCCTTCTGTCATCTGTCTTGATCAAAATACTCACCAAAACAATCCATGTATATTTTACATGCCAATCAAGCTTCTTAAAACCTTATTCTTTCTTGGTACTTTTTAGGGTCAATCCTACTTTTCAATATTTATTCATTCCTCATTTTGTACTACTTTAAACTGTTTTTAGAAAAAAAAACAAAAAACAAACATCTCTTAAACGTGGTTCTCATATGTAGAGAGTAACCTTATGGTTACCAAGAGAGTAGGGAAGGTGAGATGAATTGGGAGATGGGGACTGACATACATACACTACTATTTGTTGAATATAAAATGGAGAACTAATGAGAACCCACTGGACAGCACAGGGAACTCTACTCAGTGCTCTGTGGTGATATAATGGGGAGTGAATCTGTATCAAAGAGTGGATATGTGTATACACATGCCTGATTCACTTCGCTGTACAGCAAGAAACTAACATAACATTGTAAACCAACTATACTTCAACAAAAATTAAAAAAAATCTGTGGTCTATTGCATTGCTAAATCTGTCTCGTTAGCTTCACTCCTGTTAACTGGAATTCACAACTGTACAATGAGAACATGTTTTAATGTCAATACCCCCACTCATTTATCTGTTTGTAAATATTTACTATATTAGTATTTAGCCTATGTACTGTAAACTAAACTGCTTACTAGAGTAAAAAGAATACAAAGATTAGGTTAAACAAAAAGCACTTCTACTTTAAAATCCATTTCTACAATTCATGTCAAGGCAATCAAAGCTCTAGCATCTTGTCTTTTATCCTTCTGAATAAAGATAAAAGCTGTGCAATTTCAATCTCCATTATTTTATCTAACTCAGCACAATTGGCAGCAGTCTAAAATTATTTTTAAAAAGTCAGAGGAGGAGGGAAGAAGAAACAAACAGAAAAAGCAAGTGATAAAATAACCTTAGAACTAAGTAACTAAATGTCTGTTTATGGGTAATTTAAATAAATTGGTATTACTGGCAGTTCTAAATTAAGAAATAATTCTGGTCCATAGTAAGGTGATTACCACAATTAAGCTTTCAACCTTTAAATAAATTGTAGATATGGGTCCAAGTGCTTTTTGAAACAGTAATGAAGCTTTTGTAAAAGAACAATCTTAAGAATGATGAGTTTTCACTCCCCATCTTATTCGATCAATGCAAGCACACTCAGTCACTCAGTCGGGTTCACTCTTTGCGACCGACGGACTGTAGCCCACCAGGTTCCTCTACCCATGGGGTTTCCCAGGCAAGCATGCTGGAGCGGGCAGCCATCTCCTCCTGCAGGGACCTTCCGAACCCAGAAGCCGAGCCCTCGCCCCCTGCACTGCTGGCGGGCTGCCTGCCACGGAGCCGCCAGAGAAGCGCGCGTCTTACAGAAGGGTCACCACCAAGCTCTCCCTGAGGTCATCCTCCTCGGCATGCCTTCCTGACTACCTCCATTTCTTTAAACATTCTTCTCTTTGGCATTTCTTCCTGAGTTACCTATAAAGTGATGACTCCATTCTCAATTCCAAGTCTTTATTTCTGACTTCAGAAAATCTAGAAACGAAAGATTTAAAAGGAGCTGCCCTTCACAATCCTACCTCCCCCCAACAACCACTGTTGAGCATTCCATACTACAATATTTTCTCAACTTTAGATTATTATCTTACATACAAAATAGATTTCCACAGGTCCCCACTTGAACTTCTCTATTTCTATGAACAAAGGTTTCTAACTTGGACAATTGGATAGACTAAATTAATTCCCTCCGGCCTCATTTTCACATTCAACTGGTCACTAGCGCTATTACTTCTACCATTAAAACATGCAGTGTCTATACCTTTTTCTCAGCTTTTACCCTAGCTTTTATCTTCCCTACACTCTGTCCACTGTTTGTAACACATCTCCCCAATGTCAACCTATCCCTTAAAAGCAGTACCATTTGTCTTTTAAAGATACACTTGTGAATATACAACTTTAAAATCTGAATTAATAAACTATTTCAGGTTTGAACTACAAAATCTATTAAGTCCTTGTTTATAAACAGCTGACATCTTTCCTGAAGAATAAAGTCAAACATAGTGGGCTCTTTAGAACCCTCCAGCCAGCATCCCTTTCCAGTTACTCTCTCTGCCCCATAAAACTCTATTCTCTACTCTGTTCATAATGGACTACTCAATATACATCATGGGCTTTCAGATCTCCCCAAACCGGTTCATTCAGTTATCTCTATATCTCTACCAAAGACCCTTCTCTCTCTTAACAAAGTACTACTCACCTTCAAACATCCCTTTTCCTGCAGATTTTCTTTACCCAAGATTACCTCAAACAAAATTGCAAAGGGCTTTCCTTTCTGAAGCCCTAATTTCTAAATAGTACCAATGGAGTTCTCTTTCTATGAGACCAATAAATCAAGAGATCTGTATATATGAATAAATATCATCTTGGGTGAAAAAAGTCCAAGTTCTGGCCATAAACATTGTCCTCATCTAAGAAAAGACAAGTAAGTTAAATAAACTAGTGTTGATATTTTCAGACAAGAGTTGAAAAATATAAACTGTTTTCAGAATACTTTTAGAAACGAGTAGTTTAAGATTTTATACTTAACCAAGTAATTAGGAAATCCAGAATTATAAACTAACTCTTGCCAATAGGAAACGATAAACCTACCTCGCAGTGATAATCAAATATTGCACTTTCAGTAGTATTTGCTGATTCTTCTTTTTCAGCAGACGTTTCAAAGAATGAAAGTTGCTAGTATTAAAAAAAAAAAAAAAAAAGAGCGAGAGAAAACGATCTATCAAGCTAATAAAGAATACAACTGCTGCTGCACCGGGCAATCTCACAGTACAGCACTGAAGAAAACAAAGACTACTAGCAGCGTTGGGAAGTGCTCTTTCAAAGCTGTTGAGTAGGCACAAACTTCTTGTTTCAGATCAAGTGTTGTGTCTTCAACTTAAGTGTACTCTTCTTTGGTCTTGTTGGTTGTTTCGAGGTTTGTTCCTTGCCTGATCTGAACTTGAAGCAGCAGTTTCAGGTGGTAAAGTCTGTTCTGTTACACTTCATACTAGAGATAAGAAATTAAGACATTAAGTAAATAATCAGGGATAGAAGGTAGGTAGAGGGAAAAGCTCATCTCATTAACTTAAAATCAAGCAATGCAGAAAACTTGGACGCACACACATTCATCACTTAAGCAATCTCTCAAGTGTTAATGGATACCTTTTGTGGTATTGCACTCAAACCCTGAAATTATTTCGCATTCCTTATTGATATGCCCTCCCCACAAACAAATCAGTTATATAATGTTCTACTTAGTGTAGTGTTTTATAACTACCTAGCACTGTGTTATGAACTCTGGAAAATACGAAAGAATTTCCTGTCATCAGAGAATTTATACTCCTGTTGAAAAACAGAGCTATACATGAGAAAAAATTAGATTATAGGACAAAATGTCCAAAATTAATTTGCTCAACTAATACATGGACATCTACTATTGACGTACTATTTGAGAAATACTACTTATGGTTTATTCATCACTATGTGGACATTAAAGCTACATGGTCAGAGGCTTTTAAAGAGGTGGCATTATTTCAGCTTAATTAGGAGAAATAGGCATATTTTTGAGAAAAAGAAAATAGTTGAGTATCAGTATCCTAGGCATAAACTATAACATAAACCAAACCAGAATATGCAATTAAATCATAAGTTCCTTGAGAGCAGAGACCATGTATATGATTTTCTATACCTGACATCAAGGAAGCTTTATTTGTGAATGACTGTTACAACAAGTGTGGTTTGCTGTTTCAGAGGAATCAACAGGCTAGCCTGGGTAGAACAGAGTGCTGGGTTAAAGTGAAATGAGATATATGGTGTGACAGATGTACCAGAGCCAGATTGTGAAGCATTTCAACTTGATATATAACAAGAAACAGAGAGCCTTAGTTCTTGATGAAACGGTATGAAGTTCTGAAATCCTATGAGATGACTTCATGAAGGAAACAGACATCTCATTTGAGTTGTTGCCATAAGCAGGTAAGAAATGTCTTGAGAAGAGAAACAATTAAGAAAACAAAAGAGAAATGAAATAGACATGTAAATAAAACCACAAAATTGTGCTTTTATTAGCTGTAAAAAAATGATTATTTTGGACTGCCTCAAATATTGGCTAAAATGGTGCTGTTAACCAAAATGACATACAGGGAAAAGTAAAGGAGGATTTGGTTTTAGATATGCTGAGAAATGGACAGTATATTTGAAGAACATCAGAAATCAGAATGACTACAAAGGGAGGTCAGAGCTGGTGAAACAGTTCAGAGGAGGAGAGCTCAATACTAATCACCAGTAAACGCTACAAACAAAAAGTTATTTAATCTCCCTGAATTTCAGTTTCTACAATGCAAAATGAAAACTCAGTTGATCTACCGCCATTGGGTAAACATTCCATGACTTCATACTGTAATTTCAAATATCAAATGTTACATTTGTTCAATCTTTCAGTTTTATTTGGATCATTCACCTATTACCCAGACTAGACACTTCTTTGAGCAATGATTCTCAAATCACTGGGAAGCCTATGTCCAGTCCCCACTCAAACAGTAATTTGACTGGCCTGACTTAGGGCCACTTCTGTAATGATCCTTGAGTCCTCCCTCTCCATCTACACACCCAAAGGTGCAAGTCTTATCAATATTTCAAGGTATCTTTTATATTCTTTTTTTGTTCTAAATGACCTATTTGTCCAGTCAGACAACACATTTGCTAACTTCAGTATCAACTCTTTCCGGAAACATTCTGTCATATAACACTACCAGACTGACTTACCTAAAATTCCAATTTCATCTCATTCATCTCCTTGTCCAAAATCCTCAGCGATTTTCCCAGCACTCTAAATGGGAATTTCTTAATCCTGACTGCAAATCCAACCCACTCGGACAACTTAGGGGGCGTGTCGTGGGGAATCAAAGCCTGGCTCCCAACACGAGGTTGGAATTTAACAGGTTAGGCCCTGGGCACTAGGGTATTTCCCCTCCACCCATCTCCCCAAGGTGTCTGACTCCCAGCCAGCATTTAACCACTGCCATTCAAGGTGTGTTCTGTTCTACTTACAGCTTTCCTCTGCGCTCCAAGTCTTCTAGGTTGGTACATTTCCCTCCCTAATTCTTAAAACTTAACTCTTGGGAGATTTCTGAATTCTACTCTCTGTGCATATGGGTCTCACCACAAAGTACATATTTTGTCATCTTAAATGTTACCAAAAAAAAAAAAAAAATCATTTCTTGACCATTCTAGCACAGATTACCTAATTCCCACTAAAGGAGGCATTAACTCCCACTGCTGGCATCATTCATTCTGGTACCAAATCATTTCTGCACTTGGTTTACAGGTTTATGTATCTTGTTCCTTTAATATGCTTCAAGTTTCTGAGAGACAAACTCAGGTTTCTTTCTTTATCACAGCATCCTTTAGCACCTTACGAGGTACTGCTAAACTTACCACAGCAGAAACTAATACAGCAAAAAGACAATGATAGATAACAAGCAAAAGACAATTCAAGTTGGTATACAGTTCTACCAACTTAAAAAAATTTTTTTATTGAACTGGATAGACTTAATTATCCAACCAAGAAGTAACCTCTTCATTGAAAAAAGATACCCACCTGGAATTGAAATAAACTGGCTATTCACTCATGCCAAGATTATTAGATTCATGGGTGGTACTGACAAATCATTTTGCTTTAATCCTAAGTGTACCCCCTACAGCAACCCCCAGTCCCCAGACACTTGATATACAGAGCACTAATTTAAAAAACTAGGGGACTTGCCTGGTGGTTGGAGCAGTGGTTAAGACTGTGCTTCCACTGCAGCAGGCATGGGTTTGATTCCTGGTCGGGGAACTAAGATCCCACATACTGCAGTGTGGCCAAAAAACCACAAAAACTAAGGAGCAATTTAAATGTGGATCTGAGAGTCTTCCTGACCTCTAGATAATTAACTTCTTTTCCTTTGCTTTGTATGGGAACACTATCACCATTATTATCAACTACTATGACTTGCTGTTTCAGCAATTAATGCCAATTCCTTTACTTGAACTGAATATTCAAACAGTCATGCCCTATTTCACCTTCCTTAAAATTATCATGACCTATCTTGTTATTTACTGTCTCCTCTAGTTGGCTGCTTTATCTCAAAGAGCTAGCTGAAGCCAGGCACATAGTTGGTACTAAAATAATACATATGTTGAACCAGTACATTTTTACAGCGTTACTTCATCTAAAACGTTACCACAGAACCTAGTTTATCATTTTGACAAATTACACTCAAAAGCCTGTCCAGCACTCACTTGGGCAGACTGGTAAAGAAATGATGAACCAGCCTTTAAGGCCCTCTACCTAATGCACTCTGTTCAAATTACTCTTATTGAAAACAACAGCAAAGACCCAAATAGACAGCATGGAACTGAAAAGGTTCTCTGTTAATTTATATGACCAATACTCATTCCTGCCTTAACTCCGAAGTTCATAATTCTTTTTTTCCCCTCAGTTCATATTTCTTGATGCAGTAACTCAAAATAAGTTTTCAGTTTCACTTTGGGATCTAAGGAAGGTAATAAAACTTTAATTAACCACCTCAAAACAATTTAAGTCATCACCATTTTGAGTGGAAATAATATCAAATTGCTGCAACTATCTTTTTGTATAGGTTCACTGTAGTAAAAACAATTGTGCTTATTACTAGACACTTAAAATTATACCCTCCCATCACTTAACTTCTTTTATGATACACTAATACTTTGAAATAGGACAAACGGTAGTGTGGAAAGAAGCTGAAGAAATGCTCCACACACAAAAATCAGAACAGCGCAGACTAGCATTGTCCAACAGAAATATTGTGCAAGTGACACACGCAACTTAAAAATATCCTAGTAATCATATTAATGCTGAAAGAAACCAGTAAAATTCATTTTAATTAAGTATCTTATTTAGCCAAATCCAAATGTCATCACTTCCCACAGACAACTGACATGCTTTTAACATCCCTTGAAATTGAATGTTTATTTTATATTTCAGCACATTTCAATTCTCAGAACTGTGCACAGTTCAAGGGCACGAAGGCCACACAAAGCTAGTGGCTACCACATTGGCCAGAGCAGGTATAGACTAATTACCAGGAAAAGGCATTGGCATGCCCAATAAAGCAAGAGCAAATGTAAGGCCATTGGGCAAAGACCTTCAGTGATAAAAAGCAGCAGTACCTAGGAAACTTGCCCATAGAAAAGAGTTTGCAATTGGCAGTTTACATTTACTATCAATACATCCAAGAAGCAGAAGTCCAAACAACTAATTGGTTATATACCGGCTGCAACTGTAAACCAATGGATAGTCCACAGGTTCAATGTGAATAAATTGCTGATCAATTTATTTTCAACTATACATTAATGTTTTACCTCAGTATAAAAGCACATATAATGCTCCCAAAATAATCTTTCAATGCACCATATTCAGTTTAATACCTCTAATAAAAAATGTAGCACAAGAGAAACAGCTAAGTTTCTCAAACACAATGTAGCACAGGAGAAACATCGAATTAAATGGAAAAAAAGTTTTGAATTATTCAATTTTCTAGATACTCATACATGCAAGCAGAAAACACTCCAATACAAGACAAAGAAATTTTTTAAAATTGTAATTTGGCAGAAAGTATTTAACAGCAAGAAATGATGGGATTCAAGAAAACAAGTTACTCCCAACACGGCAATGTCACCACTGAAAACATTCCAGCTATTAAGTCTTAAAAAATAGTTCTAATTCTTCTAGCTGTAATTATCTATTATGAAAAATCCTACAGGTTAAGAGTTTTCCATAAGACAGTCTGGGTTAAAGATCTCTAAGTAGTTCCCACTTTGTTTTTTCAGAAGATGATAAATCAATGCCTTGTATTTATTTAACAAGATCAAGATTTTTATTTTGTAATACAGCCCTCAAATTCAACTCCTTAAAAATCTGCCCACACAGCATTTCCATTTTTAAACTACCTTGTTAAAAGTATGGTCCTCACAACAATGTGAATGAACTTAATGCTAATAATGAACTGTACACTTGAAAAAAAGGTTAAAATGGTAAATTCCATTATGTGTATCTTACAATTTGAAAGAAAAAAATAATCCTAAAAATGTTGGCCTTACATCTTTAAGTGGAGAGGAGGGAAAACAGGAGTAGGATAAAGCAGGACAAGTCAGTTTTCACATTCTCATTTTTTATTTGGTAGGAATTTCCAGAATTTTCAACCGAACTCTAAAGGTCATACCTGTTAAGTCAGAACTTATTTACAAAAAAGGAAAACCTATCTTCTGCGCCTCAAATACTTTACTTTTCAACTCAGCTGCTATAAATACTCATCTCGATGGTAAGCATCCAGAGCAGCTGCAAAATCACTCAAACCACTACCATCTCTTTTATTTCGGGCCTATGGCTAAAAGGAAAAAAAAACACAAAGTTGAACATTTCTCAAGATTTTACGACTCAAGCCTATGCCTGTTCAAGTATATAAACCCCCTCCTGACCATGAATACCCAATAATGGTTAGTACCAAAATGACACCAAGGCATTTTACTGGCCCTCAGTGTAGTATTGAAAATGCTCGCCTTCTAGAAACTCAAGAAAATTACTCAGCGTTTTGAAACAAGAGTAACTTATATTTGTGCCAATAATTTGATAACTACATTTTACAGATTAACAGCTCTAGTCAAAAGCTGCCAGTTAACACGATCGTGATAAAAAGCTTAATCTCTGACAGGAAATATTTCAAGATTTAACTATCATAGTACCTCTGGGCGTCCTCCCTCCTGCTTTATCCTGCCTACCAACTGTTTAAGAGGACCACATTCTTTCGCTCATTTTAGGTGCAAAACAAGGAAATTACCTCGGACAACAACATTCAGCCTTTTGTATTTGCGGAATGAAGGCTATTTTAGAGTGTTCCCTGCCTTACTTGTAAGTTAAGCAAGGGAGGAGCTATCCGGGTGTTTCCAAAGCAAAACCTTAAGGCAAAAAAAACCGTGGTACTAAGATCTCCTACTTAGGATAGAATGGTAAGAACCTCGAAGTGTCTGCAACAAGAGCTCTAAAAAAACTACACAGAATGACGACGTCAAGTCTTTCATTGCACAATATGGGCCAGGCTCTTACACCATAAGAACCAGAGAAGGTGGTAAGAACGCCACTGAGCTCTCAAAGGAGTTTGTTTTAACCCTAGAATTAGAGGGGTGAGAGCCCTGTGCCTAAGTTCAGAGGCCGGTTCTCTTTCTCAAGAAGCTAAAGGAGAGGGTTAGACAGGGAAGCTGGGGTTGAGACCCAGGATAAACAGCTCTGGGTGAATGGCAATAAAGATGACACTTCGGCTGGGCTACCGTGCCAGAAGTGGCCGAAGAAAGGAGGTGTCTCTAAGCAACTTAGAGCGGGGTCTCAGTTCATACACAAAGGAAGGGCCACTGCCGCACTGCGCTCTGCTACTGGTAGGCAGATCCGCAAGCAGGTGATGGCTAAGAAACTATAGTGTCCAGAGTCAGAGTAGGCCGCTCTCCTCCGCCTCCGGCTCTTCCAGTCTCACACAAAGGACCGCGCCACCACCCCCTCGCCCCGCCCGCCGGGACTTGTAGTTCTCGTTTCCCCCACCAAGCGGCTGAGGGGGAAACAGTCAGACTACAACTCCCAGCAGCCTCCGCGCCAGAGCCCCGCACCCCTGCCTCCATCTTGGCTGCGGTCGGAGCCTCCATTTTCGCTCCCTCCCCCCACTTTAGTCACCAGCACCACCACGCGCTGCCGCCTGGCCTCCAATCTTCACTTCGGCTCTGCAGCCTGATGTGAGGCCTAGACAGTTGAACGGGGGACGGGTGGAAAAGCCCGGGGTGGGGACTCAGGGCGAAATGTAATCTACCCGAGGCTCCAGAAGTGCCCACCCTGACTCAGAGGTCTCTCCCGTTTGTCTTGGTTTTTTCATCCGCCCTTAACTTGGCTTCCTGCTACCCCCAATTGGACCCTGAGGTCGTACTCACCCCAACAGCTCAGCGCCCCCTCTCCAGCGCCGCCATAAGCAGCACGGCCCGGTACGTAGGAATAAATCTCGCTTCTCTCGCGAGAGTTGCAGGCTCCGAGCGCGTGCACAGGAAGGGGAGGGGGAGTGTATCCTTAGTACGCCTGCGCACGAGGGCTGAATGACGCCAGCAGTGCGCTGAGCTTAACCACAACGGAGGTGGTGTCTAAATTCCCCTAGATCCCCTCCCCCTTGAGTTGCGGAAATCAATCTGTGTTTACTGACTCCACTGGGACGCACGGGGTGGGGTGTCGGGTGACTTTCAGTGTCTCTGATCTTTGCAAACTTGAATATGCTTTAAGCTGTGAGACCAGGGTGAACCTCCAGGGAGAACAATTTGGAGGACGTATCAGAAATGTCATATAAAGGATTTCTCTTTCCTCAGCAATAATCCAGAAGTTCCCAAACCGCAGTTTCATTTTTCTCACATTGGAGGCTTTCTTGTCTGCTACATTAGACTGGAATTTTATTTAGTATAGAGTTAGATTTTTAGCAAGGTACTTTGAATGCCTTAAATGAGAACTTTATCTCCCGTAAACTATGTTGCTTGCAACAGACAGTGAGTGAGCGAGGTATCATGGCCATTAAACTCCTTCAACTGACCTTTCTAGTTACTGGAAGGTGTTCATAGTGTGATCCACGGGACTGAATCGGTAACCAAAAGGTTGAAATCAGGGTAAATGGATGATTTATCTCACAAGGAGAGAGGGTAGGAGGGAAATGTTAATTCTGACCACAGAAAAGTTCAATGAATTATACCTTGCCAGAGATCAGGCAGTCCCCTTTGGTGAGAGGAATGCTTTTCACATTCTGTGGCTCTCTCACTTGAGAACACTCGATAAAAAATGACCAGTCATGCTTCTGAGAACTTGCCCACCCACTTTCTTTTCCCTCTCAACACTTATTTGTCCTGCATCTCATATGTGTCATCGCTGGGATGTATAATAGTAACAACAAATGGATATGGTGCTGTCCTCAAGGAACTTTCAGGCTAGCATCATTGAATCACAAAACCAAAGTCCGAACATACACATTGAAATAACTGCAATGAAGGAAAGGTGCACAGTGCTATGAGAGTATGTAACCTTGGATTATAAGAGGAGGTAGTATCTTACTTCCGAAGTTCAAAGATGTTTTTTTCAACTCTTCTGCTATTGGTCTAATCCCACAAGATGCCCCTTCTCTTTGATGCTTACCCGCCCCACCACAGCTTTCCCAGGCTTCACTGTCAATGCTTTCATAGTTCACTCTGTTTTTGCTAGTTTATACTAGCTAGTGATACTTTAGAACAGGGCCTGTGACATTCATCTTTGCATTGCTCTATCCTGACAATGCCTGACACAGACGACCTTCAAAAGTTTGTTGAATGAATAGCACTGAACAACAATGTAAGAAGTTGTTAGAAAGTGGAGTGTTCTGTTGGGAGGTATGGAATGTAAATACATCCGACTAGCTGTTTTGTTTCCTCTGTCCAAATCTTAAATTGAGATTTCTCCTCCCCAGCAATAGATCCGTTTGGATATTCTAATCTAATGTTATGGAGAAACTGCCCTGGGCTCTTGCACTGGAAATAAGGTCATGTGAAGCTGGGCTAAAAGTAGAATTAGGTCTCAAATATCACAGCAATGGGAAATGTAAAAAATAATAGTCTCACTAAATTCTATAAGTACAAATCCTATTAATGAGAATAAAGTCTCAATTTCTACCATCACTCTTAACTTCTAAAGACCTTAAACCATGTACGACCTTAAACCATTTCATCATCTTTATTCTGATACAGCTCAGTTGCCTTTATATTCCCCCTTGATCCATAATTAGTATCAAATTATATTTAAGACAAAATGCAAATATGTATAAACCCAGAAGCATATATTTTAGCTTCCAAGCTTTAAAAAAAAAATAAGAGATGGAGTAATTTGATTTAAATCACTGGTTTCAATGATTTAGTTTTTCTACAAGTACTAGTCATAGGTTTCATTTTTAGGTAGAGATAGGTTTCATTTTTAGATCACATTTTAAGGGAACGATATTTATTCAAATTCACTTTGAAGGCAAGTAAAAAAATCCAAAATGTTTTCATGTTTATTTTTTTTACCTGAAGTTAATTAAAGCACAAGCTTGTGAAGTCACTTGAAAATCATTTCCTATACAAAAGGATAATCACAGACTTGGGGAAGATATTTAGTCCATTAAGAAGTAATAATCAGAATTTTAAAATTGTGTATTTTTTTGTTTATTTATCATACTAATTTTTATTTCTGAGAAATTGAAATAGACAAATTGATTATAGTTGTTTTTTTTTCCTTACAATTACCAATAAGCACATTTTTCCAGAGTCTATTTGAGAATCAAAAGTAAGTATCCTCTACACATTTATAATATTTTCTTGGAGCTGTGATGGAGAGATTTTTGTCAGTTTTCTGTGAAATGAGAAAGATTAGATCAATGTAGAGATTTCTTTTAAATTTTTATTTAATTTGAATAAATTTTAATTGATTCAAGATTTAAGACTGTTTTTATTCTCATATTATGTCTTTCCTAGCTAGGAAAGGTAATGGGAATTTCCTTTATAAAATTATGGTAATAGTGAATGGCAAATGGATCCAGATTCAAAATTTCAGAACAGGAAAACACAAGTTAGAGCAAAAACTTTCATAAAGAATATTACTTATATAGGAATGCAAATAAGACTTAAAAAGTGAGAAAGTGAAGTCGCTCAGTTGTGTCCGACTCTTTGCGACCCCGTGGACTGTAGCCTACGAGCCTCCTCCATTGGATTGAACCCAGGTCTCCCGCATAGTGGGTAGATGCTTTACCGTCTGAGCCACCAGGGAAGTTCCCCAAATAAGACTTAAGAACACCACAATCCAAAACTTTTTTATTCATCAGCAAGCCACCAAACAGTTAAAGTGATTTTTTGAGAATAACATATAAGAATAGCAATTATTAGAATTTAAATAAAAATAAGGCAAAAGCTTAATATAATGCTTCTCTTTAAAATGTCAACATTGCACTTAACAGAAGAATTATGTGGACAGGCTAAGCTCCACACTAAAAGTAATAACCATAACATTTTAGCTCTGTCAATTAGCCAGAGAAAAGCATGGAGCAAAGCCTATTTCAAATTTAATTAAAAATAAAACCAATTGCATTTAGAATAAAATCCATACTCTTTTACCATGATCTGCAAGGCCATAAATGAACTAGTCCCTGCTAAGTCTCTTAACTCCTGATTCACTGTGTTTTAATCCACTGCCACTGCATTGCAAATTTGTTCAGACTTCAGAATTCTTACCTTTTCTCTTGCCTCTGCCTGGAATGCTGTTTCCCCAAATCATTAGATATTTGGCACTTTCTCATCCTTCAAGCCCAAATGTTACCACTTCACAAATCTTTTCTAAAGTAAAAGTACCCACTATTACTCTCCATATTATCACTATTACCATTACTCTTCATAATATTAGCTTATTTTATTCTCTTTCAGTTCAGTTCAGTCACTCAGTCATGTCCGACTCTTTGCAACCCCATGGGCTGCAGCACACCAGGCCTCCATGTCCATCACCAACTCCTGGAGTTTTATTCAAACTCATGTCCATTGAGTAGGTGATGCCATCCAACCATCTCATCCTCTGTTGTCCCCTTCTCCTCCCACCTTCAATCTTTCCCAGCATCAGGGTCCTTTCCAGTGAGTCAGTTCTTTGCATCAGGTGGCCAAAGTATTGGAGTTTCAGCTTCAGCATCAGTCCTTCCAATGAATACTCAGGACTCATCTCCTTTAGGATGGACTGGTTGGATCTCCTTGCAGCCCAAGGGACTCTCAAGAGTCTTCTCCAACACCACAGTTCAAAAGCATCAATTCTTCAGCGCTCAGCTTTCTTTATAGTCCATCTCTCACATCCATACATGACTACTGGAAAAACCATAGCTTTGACTAGACGGACATTTGTTGGCAAAGTAATGTCTCTGCTTTTTAATATGCTGTCTAGGTTAGTCATAACTTTCCTTCCAAGGAGTAAGCATCTTTTAATTTCATGGCTGTGATCACCGTCTGCAGTGATTTTGGAGCCCCCCAAAATAAAGTCTGTCATTGTTTCCACTGTTTCCCCATCTATTTGCCATGAAGTGATGGGACCAGATGCCATGATCTTAGTTTTCTGAATGTTGAGTTTTAAGCCAACTTCTTCACTTTCCTCTTTCACGTTCATCAAGAGGCTCTTTAGTTCTTCACTTTCTTCCATAAGGGTGGTGTCATCTGCATATGTGAGGTTATTGATTTTTTTCCTGGAAATCTTGATTCCAGCTGGTGCTTCATCCAGCCCAGCATTTTGCATGATGTACTCTGCATAGAAGTTAAATAAGCACGGTGACAATATACAGCCTTGACATACTCCTTTCCCTATTTAGAACCAGTCTTTTGTTCCATGTCCAGTTCTAACTGTTGCTTCCTGACCTGCATATAGGTTTCTCAAGAGGCAGATCAGATGGTCTGGTATTCCCATCTCTTTCAGAATTTTCCACAGTTTGTTGTGATCCACACAGTCAAAGGCTTTGGCATAGTCAATAAAGCAAAAGTAGATGTTTTTCTGGAACTCTCTCATTTATAAATGTATTTCTTTCCAAAATTAACAAATTTGTGAACTTAAGTTTTATTGCCCTACTTCTTGAACAACAGTGTAAACTTTAGTTCTGTGTTTGTTTCTTTGTTGTATCCTCTAAATCTAGAATTGTGACTGAGATAACAGTAAATAATAAATATTCATTGAATGAATGAATTATACTTATTTAACTAACTCTAAGAAGACTCTTGAAAATCCCTTGGACTGCAAGGAGATCAAACCAGCCAACCCTAAAGAAAATCAACCCTGACTATTCATTGAAAGGACTAATGCTGAAGTTGAAGCTCTGATACTTTGGCCACCTGATGTAAAGAACTGACTCTTAGATAAGACCCTGTTGCTGCGAAGGATTGAGGGCAAAAGGAGAAGGGGGCGACAGAAGATGAGATGGTTGGATGGCATCACTGACTCAGTGGATGTGAGTTTGAGCAAACTTGGGGAGATAGTGAAGGACGGAAGCCTGGTGTGC